GTAAATGGTGCAAGTGGAAAAATAATGGTGTAAAGAGCACCAGAACATGACAGAAGCACTCTGCTTTCTCAAAACACCAACCCCTCCCTCCAAAGGCTATGGGTTACCTGAGACCCTACTGGGCTTTAACAATTTTTTGAAACAGCAGCACACAATTTAGTAGCATTCTTCAGTAGCTTTTCGCTCCACACATAAGAAACATCCCAGAATAGAATCTCTGAATAGTTTCCTGAAAAAACCTTCTATCTAATTTTGGGGTTTTGGGGTGAGGTTTGTTTTAATTTTGTTTGGGGTTTTTTTTGGGGGGGAGGGAGGGGAGAGGAGGGAGCATTTCTCAACTGTTCCAGAACAGCCTGGATGCCTCTAAGCGCTGCTACTTGCCCAGTCCTTCAAAACAAACAGCTTAATACAGATGTGCAAAGACAAGCAACAGCACAACTCAACAGGGTTCCCAGCAGCCCAGCAATGCACACAGACTTAAGTGTAGTGAAAAACAGAGGTGGGGGACGTTGTGCAAGTCCAAAAAGGTGACAGAAGTGCTACTTACAAGGATCGGGCTGTACTTTTATAAATGCAGCTGAGCAATAAAATTTTAGTAACTTCAGCTGAAGAAATTGGAAACAGATGTATATGGGAAGTCAGTCTGCATAGTTTTTACTTGGTATAACATTACAAAATACTAATCAAAAAACAGTGCATTCAAAACAACTGATAATGCTTTCTAATGAGTGAGTATAATTAGTCCCAAACACTTCACTGCTTAATAGGCAGAAGGAAAAAAAAAACACTTTCTGACCAAAATGATATCAATCTGCAAGTAGACATAATTTTGTTCTAGTTTTAATATTAGACAGGAGCATGTAACACTTAGAAAAGAACATTTTGATTAAAAGAACTGAAAAAGGAAATTAACCCAAACCAAACCACTATCTGCATAGGAAAACTAGCCATTACTACTTAAAAACTACACTCAAAAAGATGGTCACTAAGAACATTTCACATATTCAATAAAAAGTTTTGGAATAAAAATTACCTTCGTAATTTTTCCCCAAATATGAGATTAACTATGGACACGGACCAAAATCTTTAGAAGGACTGGTTTTACTGAAAACGTTAATGATAAAATTATTCCAGGTAAAATCCTTCCCTTCCATGCAAGCTCGAACGAGCAGATTTTGTGTGTGTGATCAAAGGAAAGAAAACAAACATCTACCACAACCTGCAGCGCAGCAGTGCCTGCACTCCTTTCCCTTCACTGCCAGGGCAGCAGACGGAATCTGGAGTCAAGGGATGCAGCAGCCCCTGGCCCCGCGGGCCCTGCTCCTCACCCACCAATTACAGCCACAAACTTTTCCCTCCTGCATGACAAAGCTCCCGCAGAAAGAATGCCGTCCCACTGAACCACGAAACACGGGGTCAAAGGCTTCTTTGTGTGCCAGAGAAACCGGGCAGCTCCGCTCTGAATTTCTGCCGCTCCCGTTTAAAGGTCAAGGACTCACAGCCTCAAATGTTCGCAGAGTCAACACTAAGCCCCAGAAACGCTTCTAAACTGCTTCTTTACCTTCTGTTCCACAGACGAATTTTCAGAAGAATTAAATGTTTCCAGTGGTCTCCATCAAACTGGCAACATCTGAGGGAACTGTTGGAAAATCAATCGCTGCACCAGAACCTGCTTTGGCAGGTGCCCCCCATTCCTCCCTTCGGCCAGTTTCACATGCAGTGCACCTGTGATGCCTCCAGGTCGGTTGATGGGTTGTTGTCAAGTTGAAGCCATTTCTGATACTTTATAAGGGCTAAAAATGTGTCAGATAAACATGTGCATTTATGAGATTTAAAGGACAGTACTGGGGTTATTATGTTTAGGACACAACCCTGAAAAATCTTTATACTCAAGAATTAAGTCACATTTAATCAAACGCTAAAAAAAACCACATTTCTAAGCAAAATAATAATTAAAAAAAAATGAAGCATTGCTGTAGAGGGAACCTCATTCAAATTCCAGTGAAATAAGTGCAAAACTGGGGAATTTCACTGGCATTTGAATCAAAGAAGAGTAAAATATAGTAACAGCACAAATGACTCTGGATTTCCAACTATCTGGACACTGATAAGACAGCAGACAAGAAAGAGGCAATAGAAGGAAGTTATGTTAATATTTTAATCTGTACATATACCATTTTCCAAACTGTTACATTTTATTTAAATTAATGTTTTCTTGCAAAATATTCATTTATGCTTTCAAAACTTTTTATAAAGGCAAAAATAAATCATTATTTTGGCAAAAGGTTTTGAAGTTGATACTGGCAGTATTGAGGTAAAATAGATTGTATTAGCTAAATATATACTTTTAAGAATATTTCTGAGTATAGTGTTAATATAATATTTGTCTTAAAGTCTGAAACACGAGGGGCAATTTCAAGGGGGTTTTAGCTATTACTCAAATACAGGAAATAAACAAGTTAGTGGTTTCACAAAATACTGCAGAAGTATTTCTCAGTTATTTCTCATCCAGAGCTGAACTCAGCTACTAATTACATAACATTGGGAAATTTTTGCATGTCTTGCATTCAATGCGTACACAGGGTTTTTTCAAGTATAGTTGCAGCAATTCATTTAATTTTATTTTCTTCTTATGTTAACTACCTCACCCTCTGCCCTATGCATAAGTACAACACTGAATTTCAAAAAATTTGGCAGAGTTAAGCGCCAGGTGAACATACATAAGAAATTAACAGGTGCCACATTACATTAGTTTTGCTGTTTCCAGGATAAATACTAGTCAATACATCATAATGGAAGGTTTATTGAAAAAAAAATCAAAAGAAAAATGTGTATTTGCTAGTAAAATGACATATTATAATTTTTTATTGCTTACTTCACATATTTTAATTAAAAGTCGTCTTCTTTCACATCTCAACTTTCAGAAAAAATAAAATTTGTTAGCTGTTTGTTATGGAGGAGGCAGCACTACTGTCAAGGGCAACCTAGCAAACTGTATATTGATACCAGCAAGTTAACCATCTGGGATCAAAAAATGAAATGGGAGTTAAAACTGGTTTTCATTATGGCTTTCTTGGGAAATTTAAGCTATACAGTGGTTACTAATATTTAGAAATTCAAGCTAAAAGTTCTTGCAATGTATTATTTAATGGGCAAAAGGGTGGGTGATTAACTCCACAAAAATATTCAATCCAAAACACCCTTTCACCAAACCTGTCACCTGTGTTTCCTCTATCCATACGCTATGAATGTGCTCCTAGGTTTGTTCAAATGTACGGGTTTTTTTCACAAAACTTTACAATGTGCATCTGAGCCTGAGGGGAAAGTAACAGTGTCTTTTAATATCTATGCAAGTAGTGTCTTTTAAAATGAATTCAGCCCTTGATTTAAAAAAAAAAAATCTAAAATACATTGTTCTAAAAATACATTGTCAGTATTTTACAGAGTTTATTAAAAGTGCCGTTTATTTGTATAAAAAGTGTGAACTAAACCGAAGTAAATAAAAAAAGATTTGCAGTTCTCTTCATTTTCATAGAAAATCCCCCTATTATTTTCTGAATGTATTTCCAGAAGAATGTGTCATCAGCCAACGAGTATCTTCACAGAAAGCTGGTGAAGAACCTCCTCTGTCTTCCACAGTGTCACTAGGTGGGATTTGCCTCGAGTCTTATGTCAGTGTTCACTTACTGCTTTGGCTAGCATGAAGTAAAATAAAACATGGTTAAATACTGAAACAAGTAAACCAATGCCAAGCAGTAAGCAATTTCTGGAAACGTTTGGGTTTTTTTAAAGCCTTCTGCAGTTTGGCAGAATAAACAATTCACACAGACACATTAAATGGATAATTATCTCACGATGCCACTGACGCTCAAACGCCTGTGCCCCCTGCATGGTGCTGGTCATTACAATTAGTTTATTTTTCGCAAGAAAAGGTACCTTTTTATATCTAATACTCTGGAACAGTACAATTATTTTTCTGGGTTCTTTAGACCACATGTAGGTAGAGACCTCTTAAGACCTCTTCACACTGCAAAGATCTTACGTGATAGCAAAAATCAGCTAGCATACCCCTGGATATAGAAGAGTCAAGTGTTCTTCAGACACAGCAAAGATGGTAGAATCTGGTTCTCAGAAAGATAAACTGAACCAGAAAAGCAAACAGTCCTTTCCATCAAGGTCTGTAGAGGCTCTTAATGTCTATACATCTCTCTTGATGTAAATTTGTCATTTTTCACAGGTCTTGTAGAAGGCCTTTCTGGTATGTGGCCATTTCCATTTAGATTTTTATTTTTTGCACAGATATTTGACTCAGATTAGTGGCAATTAAAACAAAATTATCTAAAGATTAACACTATTTGAGTTACCCAATCAACCCTCTTTACTATTTCATCTGTGTTTTAACTTCTTCTTCAATTTCAGGCAATAAAATTAGGCCAAAAGACATCAGAAATATGAGAATAGTATCAAAGGAAACTATGGATGCGTAGCGAGTGTCTTAACTAGGGACACACTTAGCAGTCATATGTAATATTTACATGTTTTCCTATTTCAAATACAGAAAACTCTGCAAGTCCTACCAGGAAGAGATACAAATAAAGACATTTCTTAATAAGGACAACGAGATTTGAAGTGGCAAAATAACCTAATCAGAGAAAAAAATAATCTTCCGTTAACACAGTTCAATGAAAAACACATCAAAGGCACAATCATAGCCAGACACAAGATTGCAGACTTAGTCATAAAGGGCCAAATTTTCAGCTCACCTCAGTCAGGACTCCGATGCCAGCTCGTGTGTAAGATAACCAGCCCACAAACAAACCCTCTGCTCATACAACTGTGCTCTTTGGATTCTCTTGAGCAGCAACTTTATATGCCACACACAAGCAAAAAAACCACCTGTGCAGCCCAACAGTGGCCACCGGAGCACAAACGGCTGCTGAAAATCTGGCCCCTTGCTACCAACAGGACAGACATCTCCCTCCTTCACCACAGTGAGATTGTGGAAGCACCTCCTCTGTAGAGCAACAGGAGTTACCTGAAGACTTCAGAAGCCCACGTGTTAGCTCATTAGAAGCAATGTTTACAAGAATGAAAGGCTTCAGGAAAAATAGCTGCATGCTTTCATTTGGATCCAATTTCGGTTTAGTAAAGATGTTAAAATGTAGCAAGCCACAGCACAGGCACAATGGCAAATCAGACATGCCGAGAGCAGTTAGTTCTTACTTTTAAGGTGTTTAAACAAATGTGTAGTGAAATCCATTGCTTAAGGGGGAGTGAGGTGGCTGTGGTACAGAAGGTGAGGGTGCTTTAGGTGGATAGGTCAACTGCTGAGCTAGAAGGGATCACATACAGGAATTAGGCTGCACAATCAAACATTCATATTATCAAGGGAGTGACCTTAATTTTCTACCACATGAATAGGAAACCTGATTAGTAATACAATGAGGTGCTACACTATTTTAGTCACACAGAACACAGTCTAAATGACAACATTTCTTTCTAATTGCTGGTTTTTTTCTATTTGTTGCATAAGTTATGCAAATAAACATTCCTGTTTGGATGAGAACACGGATAAGTATTCAAGTTTCACTGGAACATGATTAAAGCACACAACACTAATATACTCTCATCAGTCCTGCTTTTAAAACTGCAGTTCTGGACCTGCACCTGTATTTGCTAATTTAATTTCAAGACACCACTGAGGCTATACAGGTTTTCAACATTTCCTTTGTTATATGCCAATGAGCAGAAATAAAATAACGTAAAGAAAAATAATTTTTAAAATATTACACATGCATGTAACATTTTGCTTAGTACAGTGCATGATACAGTAAGTAAATTTTCAGATCTCAGCTTAAAAATACAGGATAAAGAACACAGTTATTAAAACTATCTTTGTTTCTAAATAAGACTGATGATATAGTATTGGAAGACAATAATCATAAAACTGAAGAGATTGAAACTCAGTCTAAAACTCTGCTTTTATATTTTGGAGGGCTGAAGATAGACGTAATTCCAAAGCAAACAAATTACGAAGTGACTTCTTAATGCTCTTGTATTTGACTTTAATCTTCCAGATTCTTGGCATGGTTTCCATTTAGAAGATTGATTTCTTAGTAGGAACAGAGGAACTCTAAAATGCTGCTTTTCAAGGATTAGATAAATGTACAATTTATTTCAAAAGATTTATATTAGCATAGCACCTTAACATAACTGCTTCCCCCTGAAAAATGGGAAAAGTTAAGCTTCACAGTCTTTTTCATAAGCAAACCTTCGTAAAAACATCTAGATAATTACTTTCGGATTTTCACATATTGTCTGTTTCATCATCAAGGAGCAAATGACAACTCACACTTCAAAAATCAAACCACCAAAATAAGAACGTGAAGGAATCTGTAATATGAGACTAAATGAGAATGTACAATCAGCTGTGCAAAGCATCAAATGCTTTTCTTTTTAATCACCTTAGAGCATCAGAAAATATGCCATAAATAAAAACCTGAACTCTTTTCTGGTTTGTAGATTTTCTATCAAAACCAAACCACTCTGACTTCTTCCTTTTCTTTTTTTTTTTTTAAATCTTATGAAAGGTGTTTGCTTTTAAAGGAGTAAGTAATAATCAAAATCAAAGCCAGACATGTTTCAATAAGTGAATTTTTGAGATACAAGTGTGGCAAGGAAAACTGTGCACAGACGTAACATTTTGGGATTCCTTAAAACCCTCAGTCCTTAGCTACTGTGTTAGGATTTCTTTAAGTGTCTGAATGACAAAAGAGGCAGCTGCTGTACTTCACAAAGAAAATTAAACTAAAAATTATCTCACAACTGACTGCAAATGTTTTGAAGTTTCATTTAAACATTTCAGTGCCAATACATATTTTAATTCCCTCTTTGAGGAAAACTAAAGAATTAAGAGGATTTCTGTGGTTACATATACCTATAAGTATGTGACGGTCACACTTCTGAAATAATTACAATTTAAAAAGTTAAAATATAAAATTAAAAAACTATAGTAATGAAAACACTTCTACATTCACCATACAATATTTAAAAATCAAACCTATTTCAGTTCTGTACAGTTGCTACAAATTCAGATATACCCAGAAGTAAGTTAACTGGCCCCATGAAGACCTTTAAGTAGGGAAGGCACTCTGCTCTTGTCGTACAGACACAGAGGAATAATTTCAAGTATGGGCTGCATTCATCTGGGCTGATCCTGGCTTTAGTGTGACCTTTTCCCAGCAGAAGCTAGAACTCGCTTGCCAAAATGCTGCACTGGTTCATACCTCATGAAACATGAAGTACCAGAGTTCCTGTTACAAGGACCTGGTCACTAGAACTGGGACCAGACCACCTGTGGAGAAGCCCTTCTGGTACACTGATGGCCTGAAGGTCCACGAGGTTATTCCTTGATATGCTCTCATGATTTTACAATTCTGGTTTTTTGTTTGTTTGGTTTGGTTTTATAACATCTTGTCTCCTCAGTCAATCATTTTACCCCTGCCAGTCAGTTAAATTACCCACAGAAACTCTCTGAAGTCTCAAGATTCCTATCTTGAAAATGTATTCCATTGCCTCAAAATCCCATTCCCCTTAGGTTTAGCTGGCACTGCATCCCTGAGTATACAGCCACATTCAATCAGCAGTCTGCTACTGTAGATGCATGTTACGCATCTGGATATTGGAATAATCTGTCTTTAATGGGAAGGTCTTAAGGGCTGCTGTGGCAAGTGCCATAAGTTTAAACTGACAACTTCAGATGAGAAATGTGCACATTTTTTCTCCATCATAGTTGAAGTTTCCATTATTTCCATTCTCCAGTGGAACAGTGAATGGTGCCAGTTATAAATGGCCAGTCAGATACTTGCTGGAATCGCTGCTGCATGGATTACTGTGTGATACAAATCTCTTGACACTTCTTACTTATTTCAACTATAAAGCAATCAAGAGTGAAATTATCACTTTTAGTAACATATTGCAGAGGATCTATTAATTTCCAGGCATCAAGTAGAATTCATGCGCAGCTGTCTTGCTCTGACCTCTAATCTTGGTCACCAGACAGAAACGTGCCAATCCCTGTTTTACAAGGTCTTTTTCAGCCTGTTGTCACACAGCTCAAGTTGAAAATGATTGTACTCTAATCTCAGTCACTGTACCAGGGATTCTTTAGGTTAAGAAAAACTATTTTAAATCCTTTTCTCTTGATTCTTTAAAGTCACAAATCAATATTCTTTTTAAAAATATAGAAATATCCAATTTAATACAATTATAGAGAATTCAGTTAAAATGTTATTTTTTTAGCACTATTAGTTAGAGCAAGTTTCCAAGTTCTGAATTTATTGATCATACTATTTTGCCCCCTTCATCCAGTTCACTGAGGCCAAATACTCACTGTAAATTGTTAGACTCTTTTAAGTTTGTTACTTATACACACTATTTTGAATAGGAATGACTAAAACTTTCTCTTATGCCAGGAGTTCAGCAACAACCCCATACAACTTTGGAAGCTGGTAAGAAATAGCTGTTATTTTGTAAATAACTAAGCATTACCTGCTACCTCCTTGCTCCTCTGAGAGGCTTCAGAAGCCAAAGCGTATGATATGGTAATGATGCGCTCCTGCTCTTGCAGCTGTGAATCTAAATCAATCGAGTTGTGTTTGTCCTGGGCTACAGTAGGCTGTAGATTGTGCATACTAGTGGGAAAGTGAAAAACAACATTAACATTTGCAAACATAAAGAATCCACCATGCAGATAAGAACAAGCTTGAATTCGTACGGCAGTTTTCAGATCTCATCTATCAAGCTCCGTACTTTATTGCTGTTCTTTAAAGTAGTGTCACTATTGCATGTAAATGCCTACAGCATACAAAGAAAAATGACACAGCCATTACATGTTCAGTCACGATTTCTGCAAAGCCTTAAGTAGCCCTTTGTTGGAAATACACTGCTAACACAAAAGCACTACAAAAAATTCTATTTATTTGAAGTTGCCAGTAAAATTTCTTGCTAGTGCTCAGTCGGAAAGGCATATAACCTGGTAGCCCTCAGGCACAGCCTCTTCAGTTGTCTTCCAGAGACAGCAGATACTTGACATATCAAATTCTTGAAACCGAATGTTTCAGCTGACTCTACATCAGCTGTAAGTAGCCAAAAGTGTTCTTTCACAACTCCAGCTCTCACAATGACTTTTCTTCTGCTTTTGGCCAGATTTGTGCCTTTCCTTCCTCCTCACTCTCATCTACAAGTTGCTTAGTAAGGACTCACTACCATTTTAGGATTCTCTCAACAAGAAAACAGACATATACAAAATTTGTTTTAAAAATTTGCTTTAAAAAGCAGCTTTAAGCATACCACACAAATTCAGAGTTCACTTTCCAAAAGCTAGAAGTTACATTTAGGTAATTCATAGGAATTAAGATTGTTGCATCGAGTTAGTTCTCAATATTCAACATTAGCCTCTATGTAAGATTTGGGAAAAACCCCAAAACCTGACCTTGATTTAGTAAGAATATTCTTTATCTTTTCTGCTTTACGCTGCCTTGCTGCCAGTTCTTCAGTAGAAAGAGGCTCTTCTGGCTCCAGTTCAACATAACGTTCTGGAATTACAACCTTCTCAGGTTTTGACAACTGTGGAAAGAAAGCAAGCATCATTTTTTTAATAACAAATGCCTAAAAAACTTGAGATAAATTCTCCGCAATGGGAGAACACAGTGAAAAGAATAAAGCATGGATTTTCGCAGTCAGCACATGTACCTGATGCTAAACACTCCCTCTGGATATGACTGGATGCCCTTTTAACTGTATCTTTTCCCTCTGATTTGTTTTACTTTAGAAGATAGATCAAACAAATATTAAAGGGGATTACAAAAGAAATCAGAATCAACAGGGAACCTTTCTTCAGCTCAGGCTTAGAGCCCGAAGTAGGGCTCTGACTAAAGGTGTTACAGTAAAAAGAAGCAACCACTGCAAGATTGACTGAACAACCTGAGATGTTAATGTCATTTTTATGTCGTGCAAGCAAGAACTTCTACAACTGAAAGGAAATACCACCTAAAGTTTTAACCTATGGTATCATTCTTTTGAGACTGCATATTCTTCTGGGAGCAGTGGAGAAAAAAAAAAGGCAAACAGAAATACACTACACTGTGCAATTGTAACAACATGTTGCATAGATGTACTTCTGCAAACTGAAAATTTCTACATAATTGCATGAAAGCTAGCAACAAGTTTTTGTTAGGATCAATTACTTTGGGGAAAATTTTTTCTCCACGTAAGAGACCTAAATCACTCAATGAAAACACAGTTTAGAAACGGACTTTGAAAACCAATGCTTATAATACAGAACAGACTGCTTTTGAAAAACAAAAATAGAGGGTGTGTAAATAAATAGAAATAAGTAAAGGAGAACTATTTTTGATTCTTCTCATTGGATTTTTGTTAAAACACTCATGAGGCAATGAGTTTTCAAATTCAAAGTTTTCAATAAAAATAATCCTAAATTTTTTCACCACTGAACTTAGTTCACACTAATTCAATTATGTAAAGTGGCCTAACCCAAATCTCAGTGATTAGGCTCTGTAATTCACAGGCAATCGTAGGCCAAAAGCATACAAACAGTCACTGGCATTTATGTCCATATTAAAATTACAGCCTCAAGTTTTTTATACTTCCTTCTCAGGAAACGCAAAGCCAATGCTTCCTAAAAAAATCCTCCTGTTTCCACTACACTTCCTTACTTTGAAATCCAACTCCCCTTTGGAGCTATCTATGTGTCTATCTACATATATAGAGTTGTGTTTGGGGTTTTTTTAAAAGTCTATATCTATCTCCCTAATATAACTAACCTAGATCAGAATATCCTGCCATTTTCAGAATAACAAACCCAGTTAACATGTGAACAGCTCAGTACATTTCCTTCTGAGGCACTGAAGTACCTAAAATACAGAAATGGACCAGGATGGGGCTCTGAGCAATCTGGTCTAGTGGGAGGTGTCCCTGCCCATGGTAGAAGAGTTGGAACTAGATGATCTTTAAGATCCCTTCCAACCCAAACCCATTCCATGATTCTATGACTCTAACCTGGGTAAACTGAAAAAGAAGCTTTACCCTCAGAGCTTCAGACCTGTTTCAGTTACTCTGAAGTAGGACAGAAATGCCTGTAAGAAAAAATGTTTCCTATCCAAGGTTTAAATTAAGGAAGTTGAAAGTGATTCCCATTGCCCTGGGGGTCTTCAGGAAAAGAAAAATTAATAGCAGAGTACAACAAGGACAGGAAATAGAACAAAAGTATTTTTTTCTGTTTCTGAAGTTTACAAAAGCACTGCATTTTCTGTAAAAATTATACAAAGATTAACTGAAAGATACATTCATTCATTCACAGAGATTAACAGACAATGGTTCACAGAGTAAAACTTTTACAAATATCTCTCTCTATAAAATGCTACTCTGCCAACAGCTTTCAGAAGAGTAAAGGTGCTTACCAGTCTAATTATCATTAATAATTTTAGTGACCTGCCATCTACCATGGCATTTAACACAACACAGTGTACCTCCTGAAACCTTTACACTTGCTATATTCTTTCTTTCCCACCAGATGGCTCAATCGCATTTCAAACTAACACTTAATTCGGTTACCGAAGCTGAAAAAAGATCTTGTGTCTAGAACACCAACCAAGGCATTCCAAAATCTGATAGAAAGGTGTTTTCTTTTCAAGTCTGAATAAAGCAGTGCTCCCTCTTCTCTGTCACCTTTTGCCAGTCAAAATGAAGAGGAGTAAGGTACCTCTGGGGAACTAACTTTTTCTTCTTTCCTGTTTCTTATTTTCAAATACTCTTCATGTTGTCTTTTCATCTTCTTTCCCCAATTAATATAACTTTCCCTAACTTAATAGCTTTTTCCTTTACAAAGTCTGAGACATATATTTCAAACAGTAGAGCTAACTTTTCAATTTTTTCTCTCCACTAGAACACAATACAAACACAAACCTTACAGAGATTTTATGTTCCAGGTCACAAGTTTGCAAAACCCCAAAGACTCCTTTTAGTTCAAACTTCCAGCTAACTTTTGAAAGAAAAGATAAGAATTCAGTGCCTAAAACTTAAGACAGGTTAATATTTAAACAGAATAGGAGGCAAAAAATTATGAGTGTTACCTCTCTGCTGATATCTAAATCATAGTCTTGAGGCTCCAGGTCTGTCTCTGTCACTGCTACTGGCTGAACTTTTAACCATTCATTCTCATCCTTCTCTTCTCCACGAATTGCCCTCTCAAGTAACTGCAAATCAAATTCTTGCTCTCGTTTCCACTGGTAATAGATACAAAACAATTAACAGCATTCAACCACACTGCCAAATTCACTGTATAGCAATGTACATTACTACTGCTGCAAATGCTACGTTGCTGAAAGAATGCAAAGAGCAAACCCCTTAACTGACAAGAGAAAGAAAATACAACTGTATTTCTTGGCACACACAGTTGGGAGTTTTCCTCTCTACCTATGCTGCATGGAATTTGGAGTATTGTTTAATTTTACAAGTAATGTTCAGCGGTATTAGATTCTAACAAACATATCACAATTTCACATTTGCTGATGAACATGGAACTAGCCACACACAAACATCTTTGGAAGCACACGTGTCAATACCAGTGAGCCTACAGACTGACAGACTAGTCCTAGGCATTCTAAGGAGACAGTGCTGTGTGGTTTTGAATCACTACACAGAATGGGTACTTACATTGCAGCTTGAGAATCACAACTTAATAATTTTATGTATCTTTTTAGAATAATACCTACTGTTTAAAGTTGACAATATTTTACATACTGGCATTAACTTGTCTTGAAATAAAAAGTGTTTAACTTCTAAGCTCTTCTGACTTCATTAAAAGTAGAATCTAGCTACCTGCAAAAATCTTTCACACAGTCTTTATAAGGTAAATACTTAGCAATATAAATTTGAAATATTAAATATTTATCAACATGAAATATTTAAATTTAGCATATTTAAATTAAGCAGCATAATTTAGAGTTCCCAAATCACTTCACAGTACCTCCTTCACAACTACACACAATACAGCTACATATAAACTCACACTTATGGACACTACCAAGACCTTTTTTGTTCAAAAAATTAAGTTCAGTGGTAGCACCATTCCATTCACTGCAACTTAAGTAGTGTAGTGGGAAAAAGAAGGGACAAAAGGAACAAGAAAAAAAAATTATCCCCTCAAGCATTTGAGGCAATCAATAGGAGAATGTATTCTTAAAAATATCTCCAGTATTTCTGGTACAAATCTTTGGCTTGTTTTGGCTGAAGTTTGAATTCCACATGAAGTCCTTAGACGTCATTATGCTACTTGCATTAATAAATCTAACTGAAACCTATTCATGCACAAGCTCTCAGTATTCACTCAGAAGATAAGTATCTTCCACGTATATTAAAAAAGTTAAATAGCTAAAAGGCAATTATACCTCAAAAATTGAGATGTTTCTTTACAGAATTCAAAAGAGAAAAAAAAAAGTTTTCTCATGAGTACTCCAAACTCCTTCTACTCATATTCGAACCAGGCCTGATTGACATAGTATATTTTAAATACACAGTATCATTTTCAAGTTATTATATATAGGTAAGAAAAACATCAAACCATTCTTACGAAGCAGGATTTTTATTGGCTTTGATGTTGCAACTTTTACATTAAAAAGGCAATGTATATAACAAATGAATTCAGGTACTGTGATCAATACTTGAAATGTCATACTACACTTGAGAGCTGACCAATTAAAAATTAGAACTACACATACAACTTACGTCTAAAGCAAAAGTTACATACTGAGCAGCACTTGAATTATACATTTAACTGTTTGCCATTTTGGCTGCTAAATAATTGTAATGCTGTAAGTAGTTGTGCTATCAAACATGCTTTTGCATATCAAAGCCCTATAGGTACAAGAGATGACCTCTACAAAACATTACTAGGGCTGAAAAACTCTATTTTAATTCTTTACAGCAAGAAAAAGACCAAGATGGCATCCAAATTTATAAATAAAGTGTTTGCCACAAATGTTAATAACGAGTGTTACGAAAATGTTTAAATTCGATTTGTGTATGTTATGCGAGTCAGGAAACATACAAAGCCCAGATTTATTTCTTCTAATTAAAATATGAAAATAACAGCGATAATATAGTACTTAAGTTCCCAAACATTATGCACTGTCTTTAAAAAATTTTTGATTGCAAAACAGAAGACAAAATGGATGAATGTCTCCAAGCAGTGCACTCGTATTTACTGGGAAAGTAAATACAAATAACTGGCTGTAAATTAGTGCTACAGAACAGTGGGAATGAAAAGCTGAATATTATAAGGTTTTTTTAATGCCAGCAATTGACACACATGTACTAAATGCAATTAAGCCTGGTAAAAATTGAGTAGTCCAGTTAGAAATTTTAAAGTAACTACATAATTCTGCAAATTAAAAACAAGCAAACAAAAAAAGAGGCATTAGGTATGATGAGTGACAAATCTAAAAGCAAGAGATCTTGTGCAATGAATTAGGTAAAACAATGTGATCATTCTAAAGCTCTAGTGGACCAAATAAAAAAATAAATTAAAGGACCACAGCATAAGTGCAATTACAGTACAATCTTGGTTTAGCACCAAGTGAGCAACTGGGTAACTTCACCAATTAGAATTGCTTTGGTTAGTATCCAAAACGTATCATTATAAACTTATTGTCTGTACAGCATTTATTATCAGAACGCAACAAAAATACTTTTCTTCAGCAGCTTAAATTTGAGCCTTATTAGAATATTCCATGTTTTGAGCTTTAAAGAAGAGTTTGTATCAATTAAAACAAGTTAATTCTGACATAAATTCCTAATCCGCATGATTAGATTTTAAAACTGATTATCCATTTATCATCTTTTTAAAAAAACCCAAACACCACCTTGGTCTGATATTACTATGACTATCTCACAGACTAATTTATGAATTAAAAAGAAAAATACCCATGGTGAATAAGAACATTCTAAAAGGCCCATTCCATTATGAAGCAGTTTTAAAACTGTACACGCTTCTTACACTTTCTAAATACAATTCCAAGGATAAAAACTCATGGCTCTGAAGTCACCCCAATAAACTGGCATCTCCACTCATCACTCTAACCTCGGACCAACTTACCTGCTGAACATTCAACATTTACCATTACTACAGGTAAAAAAAGATCACCTGTTACTCACACTCTCTGAACTCATTTGATACTGTGTAACACTAATTTAATTGGACTAGGAGCATCACACACACTCAAGTGAAAGTGCTTGCCAGGAAAAAAGAATAAATCCAAAGATATCTTTAGTTTAGTCCTTTTAAGGCATATCTAACATACTGAGCCTACGTCTGCAGAAACAGGCCTGATGAAAGACCGAGATGAGACAGACTGCCTTTCTCCTTGGCTAAGAGTCCTCTTGCGCTCACGAACTAATGCCTTCTGATGTCGCTTCATTCTTTCTAGTTGTTCCTCCGCACTCATCTTGCCTCTTTGGTGGTCTCCAGAGTATAAACGTTCCAAGGCACTCTTTGGTCTCTCCTGTGAAAGTCACAAGGCACACACAAAACACATTTTGTAATTAATACTTCATAAAAAGTATACGAAAAATGAACTCTTTCTGCTACCTTATTAGTAAATTTTAATCTATTTCCTTTGCATTTATTTGCATGTTTCGACTCTGTGTTTTCTATTAGTAGTGCTGATTTTTGGTTCTAAACCTTGTTTTATAGATCTATTTGAAATGCAGTAAGTTGTTTGTCTGTTTTCCAATTCATTTAAGAAAGTGAAAAATTGGAGATTTTATCAGATCGCAGCTCTTGGTCCTCTCCCATTTACTGCAGTCCCACTCCCTGCTATGCAAAATGTATTTTGGGCTTAACTATTTTCAACAGTTCAGACATTTGCCTTCAGATGTTTATTTAAAACTTACCTTGGACCTATCCCTTCGAAGTGTTGCAAACGATGAAATGGTAGATGACTGGTGCAATCTGGAAGTCGATCCAGACAAACCTTTATAAGGAAAAAGAGAATGCCTTAAACCAAATGACAAACAAGACAGATATTTTTTTACATTGCCATCATGTTTCTATGACATTCTGGCTACTATTTTAGCCTGCATTTCACATTTTGCAGTTCAGAAGATCATGAGATGCATGAAATTTCATTTCAGCCAAACATAATGTGTTTCACTACTGATCAAAATTCAGAAAGACCTACAATAATTTAGAAACTTATATTAAGTGAGGGATGGGGTGAAATCAGCTGTACCAGAGTAGATACACTGTACAAATAATCACCTCTATGAAGAAAATCAAACCTTAACATTCACAGTTAAAAAGGAAAGAAATGAGAAGGGAATGGCTAAGAATTTGCTTTTACCCAAATATCATGTCTATCCTCATTTGTCAAATAGTTACAGGAGTGTAGCACAGTAGGGATGGAGTGTCAAGTCAGATGTAATATCTGAGGGCTTTAAATTCATATTCTTTATCAGTTACATTTCAATGGCAATATAAGTGTTTGTAAAAGATTACACAGAAATTATGAGGAAAAATAACTGAATATAAGAGATTCTAACAGCTAATTCCATGTTTTGCTACGGGTTTTTTTTAAGCCTTATATATTAAGTTGCTTTGCAAAAGGCTGGTTGACTGTAACAGCACCATTGAAATGCATAAAATCTCTAGACTTTCACAGCACTGTATAGTTAATCTAAAAATAGTGATCTGACGATAAATGTCATCTCCAGAACATTCTAGGAGAGAAAAGCTCCTATACAGACAGTACTGTTAAAAATCAACTACATAAATTCCTGGCTTACCACGGGTAGGTAATGTCTGGTATCCACTGTCAGGGTTTATTAAAGCACTGGAAGGATGGCTGAGGTCACCCCCTATCATTGCCAGTTCTGGTTCACTCATGTATGAACGCAGTTCCACCTATACAGAAGAATACTCATCAGCTCAAACAAAATGAGAGACAGAAGGTCTTAATAATCTTAAATCCTAAAGCTTTGTTTCTGGATTACTAAATTTCTCTCCACTACTATTACATGGCATAGGTCTCTCCTTGTCATTATCATCTCTATGCCATTATATATCATTAATACAAGACTTACAGGTCCATATATTTCAGAGACAATAGTATCTTTTATCACAGGTGCACATAAGTTTGAAATGCAGGGGTATAGGTGTATGAGTGCTCACCCTATAATCTCCATTTACATATTGTCCGAGTTCTCTGTCTCTCTTTCTCTCATCTGACTGACGTTTCAGGCCCCGCACTGATGTGTGTCTGATGACAGTGGCTTCTCTCGGGAGAGGTGGAACAGCTGGTGGCTGATCATCAGGACTGTACAGCTGCGGGAGAGGAGGTCTGGGTGGTGCTTCATCTTCCTGACAACAGGAAAGCATAGGGATTTGGCAAACAGTCTCAAAACAGTCTGGCACAAACTGAAAGTCCATTGCATTATATGTCATTTGTGACTGATCTAGCATGCTGTCCTCTGCCCACACAAGGAGCTTGAGGCTTTAAAACCCAAACGAGGCCCAAGAAATCAACCACAAAGTATTCCCAAGAAAGGCTGTGAATTAATAAGTTCTAAACCAGTATATGGCCACTGTACATAAAGGTCCAGGTTACACACATGTATTCTGCTGTACTACTGCTCAGATTCAATAGAAACATCCTAAGTGCCTCCCTATTGTGCCTCCACACTGTGTGCACTTCGTAACCATGACATTTCACTGTTCCTGCCAGAAAGAAAAGGAAACACTGGTGAATGAATCACAGAAGAGCAGTACTTACAACCTTTGGCTTGAGCTTAACTGGTGACTGAAGAGGTGGCTCGATTTTTTTCAGCTGCTGTGCTTGGTGCTGTGTTCTGGTCTGGAAATAAGGCTGTGGATACAGCCTGACCTCCAGGGGGGATTTAACGGGGCTGCGTGGAGGGCTCTGCGCAACTGGAAGTTTGTTCTCCGCAGTTGCAAGGGAAGCTGGTAAGGAAGGCACTGAAGACTGAGAAAATGAAGGCACTGTTTTTCTCTCTAGGGGAAAAACAGACAAACATGTAAAGTGTTGTTTCCTACCAATAATGTTCATAAGAATAGCAATTAACAGACTTCACAAAACAGCCCTTGTCCTCTGCACATTGCTTTGGACACAAATGGGGGGTTTGGACATAAAAAATGTTTGTTTGTTACATTGTAACAAGGGTGGAAAACATTTTTTAATGAGAACCTAGTAAGTCTTTCAGGCCAAAAATAAAACCACACAGTTTAATATCATCCAGTAAAATTCCTTGTAGAGCACAGCGGGAGGGAAGGAAGGAAAAGCCTGAGAGTCATATGAAATCAGTTCATAGGCTGTATCTGGCCCATGCCACAGATTCCTTAAGATGCCTACAGATCTAGACAAGGCTAGGCACTGACAGCCATACCAAAAATAAAATGAGAGCTCACCATCTTGTAACTATTTATCTCTGTATGCAAAAGGTGAGTAAAGATACTTGAAACATAGAGTGGATTTACAGTAGGCGTTAACAGTCTCTTGCTATCCCAAAGCGTTGTCTTTTCTTTGAAATGTAATAATGCAACTGAAATGCAGACCACACACACCTTCCCTTCCTCTCTTCCACTATGTTGTTGCTCTGCCCACCAAACACCTGCCTGAAGAGGGAGGGGGAAGGCAACTGCAGCAAGGGCAGCTGGGCAGCCTCCAAGGGGAGAAGAAAAAAACCAACCAAACACCCCAGAGAAAAACACAGAGGGGAGCTCCTGGGCAGAATACAGAACAGATACTATGCTGGTATGAACCTAGCACATGCCAGAAACTCCTTCTGCAACTTGAAGAACTTAGCCCATTATTGTTATTGTTGTTCCTTTTTTTTCCATGCCTTGTTACATTTTACTGCCATCAGTACGTGAAAACAAACAACAAAAAACCTTGTCACCTCAAGAAAAGAAACACCAAATTAATGTGTTCAATTAACAGAGATTTCTGATACATTCAATAGAGTTAACTGGATTTTCTGCAGTAGAAAATCAGACTATTTCAGACTATTTGCACAGACCCAAAGATTCAATTGCATTTGTACATTTTTTAATTTTTTCATCACGTTCTCCTTACCTGGATTCTTAATAGAGTCTACTATGGTTTTGTAGTTTGCTTTATTTGCACTCAAGCCAGCTGTAACATCTTCAATTCTCCACAAGTCTTTTTGTATTTGTGTTTTCTCCTGATGTTTGTAGTAAAAGAAAAAAAATCAACTTTACCTCATTTTTAATTACTATGGGTTTATCCTTCTTTTGATACCACACCCAAATCAGTGGTTCAGAACTTACATGAAAACTCAGGAGTCCAGAAATGAGTTAAATAATTATTTTAAAATAATAATTAAAAAAACCCCAAACCCAACACCAACCAACTTATCTTGCCCATAAAATTTATTAGAGCATTTTCTGAGTCCTGGAAGACTTCCTATTGAACACTGGGGAAAAGAGACACCTCTACATTTTTTTCTACAATATTATTCAGGCTAGAAAAACCTAGTTTAATGTTCCACATAAAATAAGCTTACACAATCTTTTCACTTGAACTTTGTCCTTAAATCCTATAACTAACACACTTAAGACTGCTATAGCAGCCTTACAAATCTCATCTTAATACTTTTAGGGGAAATGTCCAATATTAAAAAAGCAAAAAAATTGGTATCATCTCCCTGAATCCTGCCATAAACTTCCCAATGGCTTTTAATGGATGAAACACAAAACCCAAACAAACTCAGAAGGGCTGACAATTTTAATTTCTGCTTATATTTGGGTTGATAGGCCTACTGGACATGATGTATTATAGGCTGAAACAATATATTGCTGCTGTTACAGGATTTGGTCTCATTCACATCCTAATTGTTTTACCACACCTTTCCAGGAGGAAAGAAAGGGAAACTGTCTACAGTCTGGACTCTGCTTTTGACTGTTATCTTACAGACAGAACCTTGGCTACTGAAGACCCCACTTCAGCCATTCCAATCATCATAAATAGTTACAGTCATCTAATTAATCAAAGCCTGGTAACTCTGCCTGCAAAAATTTGCATCAAGAATAAACGTAGTAAAACCAGTACTATTAAAGAAAGCAGAAGGCAGTGAAACACTTTAGTTAAGAATTGCTTACAAGCTGCTCTGTAGAAATCCATCACTTGCCATGAGCTACAAAATAGCTACTAATTAATCCTATAAGCCTGAAAGTGAAAAAAACTTCAGTAAAAGCTGTTACACCTCATAGAGCTAAGGAAGGCATATAAATTGCTTTCCACTTTCTGTCTTAGATCAGGAAATATGTTCAGCCAGGTTACAGATCAGCAAACAGAATGCCAAGAACACAAACATTTAAATGATGGAGAACGTTATTTGCCTGTAGTAAACTCACTGGATAGATGGGACATATCTTGAAAGATTGTCAGGACACAAACTATAAATTTGCACATTTCATTTCATTTTTCTGAGATTAATCATACTACAAGGAACCAAATGATGGATTTACAATAATCAAGCCTCAGAATGGCTGAAAAAACCACTAGATGTACCAAAAAATCCTGCTTCTGAAACCACTCAGAAAACATTGATTAGCAATGTAGAAAAGCCAGATCTTTTAATATTATTTCTCTCCATTACTTAAATATTGATGTGGAGAGAATATTTTAGACCTAAAATGGACTAGGTCTGAACAATAAGCAGATGAATTCATTTTAAGATTATGAAAGCCAAGACTGCTCTTTACAAAAGGGTATAAATACACTTTATGGGCCAGCATGAAAAAGTAACCTGGATAGAGAATTCAATTTCTCTAACTTCCTCTACACAGAAACATAATTTAGAATGACTTACAAAACCAGAGGAGAAGCACTCACCCACTAAGAAGTTATCACTGTTAAAATAGTCCATGTCAGTTAATTTCAGCATGCCCAGATCCTCTCCAGCCCGTAAGCAAAAGACAATGAAGCTGTACTCTTAAAAGCCTGATTCTTTACAATACTTTTTAAACGGATTTACTATGACTGAGCTGCTTGAAACATTTAGTTTTTGACCTCTAAATTAATGCTATATAGAAACTATATTAGTGGTTTCCTACAGAAATCTGAGCCTGTAAATTTACTGAATTTTTAATAATATTCCATGAAGACTGTCTTTTTTTAAATGCCATGTGTGTATTAATTTAGTGCTATTGGAAAATGCTAGATAAACAATCTTCTGTCTACATAGCCTTGGGCAGAGATCGTAAAAATTCTAACTATTATGGGTACTTCAAGTGAGACTTCTTTGAAGGAATATAATTTGAAGAATATTTGGTACTTTCCGAAAAAATCAGTTGCCCTTAGTAACTCCAAAATAGGTATTCAGTAATATTTTTTTAATATGAGCCAAACATATACATGCATACTAATATATACCTATATATGTAAGTATACACACACAGAACTGATAACGTGCATTCTGTGTCTATTTAAAATTATGCACATATGTGATATGAGACGATAATCAAACTGAATTAACATTTTTTCCTCTGCAAACTGTATTCCCTTCCGTACATATTGGTGAATCCCATGCTACACATCCAGTATTTTAAGCATGCTCAATGCTCAACTGGAAATTGTTTGTTAAAGCAATCTAACAAAGTATATTTTGTTTAAACCTGTAATTTTCCTTTGTTAAACAAACTTCATACAGGGACCATTTTATTCTGAAATCCCCCTGGGATTTTTTTGAAATACATAATCTACAGCTGAGCTTAATTACATAATATTCTGCCTCCAGAAAATAAATCACTTTCCCATTCCCTAGAATTAAAAGCAAATGAAAATAGACTTTGAAGATTGATGCACTCAAAAAAAGTTTTACAACTCTTACTTTGATACAAAACATTTATCCATTAATAGTAAAAATAAACAGGCTTCAATTCATATCTGATCAGATATTTATTGCAAATAAATAAATTTAACTAGTGCCTTCTTTTGGCCCACAATATTTGGAAAAACAGACCAAAATTTGAGCAAAATGTATACATTAGCTTTGTTCCTTGTGTTTTGTTCCGCTTAAACAAAGGAAATACAATCCAGTCTGCATTTCTTGCTCCAAGAATAAAGTCACCAGTTGTAAGCAGGTATGTAGAAATAATCTGGTATGCCACATCCAGTTCAGCAAAGAGAATAACTTAGCTTCAAACAAAGCTTCTTTTTAAGATTCGAAACTGAATAATTGATTTAAAACTGAGATGCCTTTCAATTACTGATGGCTGTTAAAACACTTATTCCACTTCACAAAACAATCTGCAGAGATAAATCTTCCACAAATAGAAGAACATGACAAAGAACAAGTAATGACAGTAACAATCCAGTGACTGATGATCTTAAAAATGGATAAAGAAGCCAACAATGTCAGATCAAATAAATGGAAGACTAAGAAGTCCTGCATAGTCTTATAAATTAAATACATTATCAACGTCAAGATGTCAGCATGTAATAAAAACGTAATAAAATAATGACAAATTTGCATAGACAACTTATGAGACACTACTGCATGTGCTGCCAGACGCCCTACCCTGCACAGCCAGGCTGCTGCAGTGTCTGAATTCCACCAACTAAACTACATGACAGCTGAATGCACTGCAAAAATTGCAGAGAATTTCTGTTATGAGATGATAGCTTCAAGTTCAGACAAAATCATCTTATAAGTGTTTACAATGTCTGGAAATGGACCCACCTGAGATAGCAATGAACTGTTCATCTGTTCCTGTAAGGCTTTTTTCAGTTGGCTCACATCCTTTTCTAATTTCAGATACTCATTCCAGGCATTTTCCATTTCCTATTAACAGAGGGAATACTCTAATACAATGTTATGATAAACTACAAAATCATTCTCTAGTGGAGCACCAAAGTGTTTTGAAGTTAGTGTTGTTCTACTACAAAAAGAAGTAAAAAATCCATTTTGTAGTCTCCATCGTTGCTTAGAGTTGATTATACATTTCAAAATGCTTTACAGCTTGCAAGATCAAGTCAAGAATCCCTAGTTAAAAAACTCTGGCCAACTTCCTTACACAAACCCATTTCTTAAGTATAAAATTGGCATGTAATAGAATCTGAAGTATACTCTGTGAGGGAATTGAGCCTATTGCAGTTCCATTTCCTTTTAATTTACTCCTCTGTTGAAAACAAGTTTATAATTAAAATCCAGTGACCTATACCAGAAGTCATGTCTTGAAACACAGAGCAGGTTATCCTTCAACAGTTCTACAGAATATGTTATAAAGTGAATAAACCAGCAGACATCTGGAGAATAAGGCTATCCAATCACCTTTACTGTACTTGGATTACTTCCAGCATCCATAGCATCACAGTCAGCCTTCTGACCCAGAACTGAGAAAAATCAAGTGTCTGGTGCATTTTTATGTACAGGATGATGAAATAGGCTTTTCTCTGAATTTTAGAAAAGAGAACACATGGGAGTTGAGGGCAAGAAATCATGGAGGTCTATGAAGCCATGAGTGCCATGGAGAGAGCAGATGACTGACTGTTCCCCACCTTCTCTCATACAAGGGTCTATCACATTAAACATGTACAAGTCAGGGTCAAAACAAATAAAAGAAAAGGGGTTGTCCATGCAGTGGAGAAAAGATCTGTGCAATACCTCGCCAAATGATGTTTTGCATGCAGAAGATTTACAGAATTTAAAAGGGAACTTTATAGGTTTTTGGAAACGATCTACTGAGGATTACTAAATAGACAAAAAAAATAACAGAAAAACAGTCCTGGGAATTCTCCAAGCAGAAAACAGTTAGAAGTTGGATTGGTTATGATAGGAAATACTGCCCACCTCTCCTACCCTTACTCTTCCTTAAGCATCTGCTTATGCCCACTGCTGAAGCCAGAACTCTGGACTAGAAGGTGCCTTGGACTGACCAGTACAGCCTTTATTACAATGACTTGTTATTTATGTCCACATTTACATTTTAAGTGCTGACTGTGAAAGTCATATGTTTTCAATAGGCACAAACCACTGTATCTATATATTTATATAATCCTGATGTTTTAATGATCAGATCTTTCTATAGGAAAGGTATTCATGCAACTCTACCAACAATGTTACAAAGAGCTGGTCCCATATTCATTAAAAGGTAGGAATAATAGAGTGGATACACTTCACCCAGTTTTAATATACTCTCTTTCATGGCCAATTCTTAGAAATAATTTTATTAATAAAATGCAACATTAAATTACATTTTAATTTTATTGAATTACAATATCAGTAGTAAATTTTGACTGAAATATCAACAGACTTTCCCAGTTCCTTTTGCCCTAGAAAGATATCATGGAATCACCTTTATATTTTTAAGGGACTAGCTGAAAGATTTGCAATTTAAGCCCACACATAGAATAAAAAGATATAAAAAGTTTTCTGAGTAATCTTTTTTTGCAGGGGCAGGGAATATTGAAGAGTAAAGCTGAAGAGATTGTTTAACTATTTTTACCTGATTTAGTATTCTGTATCTTAACCAAAACTGTTCAGAACAGGACTTAACTCCCCTATCCAATGAACAATACAGTTTTACTCTACCTGGTATTTTAGTTATGGTTTTCTTGAAGCAACCAGAAACACATACCGTTGAAACTTTGGATATTTCAGCCCGAATACGTATAAGATCCTCTTGCAAAAGTCTCTGCTGGTAAGATATTTTTTCTGCATGTTGTGGTTGGTCTTTGTACTGATCCATCTGCCTGTGTAAAACCTCCAAAACAGACTCCAGCTGATCCTAGCAAAGAAACAGTAAGTCTACAACATTTACATGGAATTTTATGCACCCACCTGTAGTAATATGAAATGTGTTTTCCATGCCACAAGTTTCCCAGTAGAGCTGAGGACTGGCCTCCTGTTTTGGAGATTAGGAGGCCAACAGTAACAAAAAAGTGCAAGAGCCTTAGTTACCTACTGTAACAAAAATTATCTGATACTTTCCATTTATTCTTTCCATTAAGTAGCCCAAACTGTGGAAAACACAATGCACTGAGATGGGAATTTTTCTATTTACACTCTGTACGAAACTGTAATTTACAGTTTCAGAAAAATTCTCTTAATCAGTATAGAACTGTGACAGCTCTACCACAGCCCAGCATGAGTTGTTTGTTTAAGGACAGATTCTCATTCACTGTTATACTTGAATTAGCCATGTGAGAGATTAAAATATTGTCTAAAACATGAAGCAGGTCCAATTCATTCAGTCAGGAGGAAATAATGTGGAATCATTTTTGCAAAGTAGCTCTAGTGAAGAATCCACCTGAACAGCACTTTCATTTTAGAATAGATTGTTTTCTGAACCACCTTAATTTACTGACAGCTACAGCTCATAGGCAGTAGGGAAGTAGATGGATTTAAAACATTCACTTTCAAAAACATGTTTTCTAGCAATTGGTAATCAGTCCTAACATAAACACCACACCCCCCACCCCCACACCCCCCATCTTTTTCTCACAGAAGTTTATACACATGTCCAAAGAAAATTACTACAGTGCAAGAAGCATCCAGTAATTCAATTTTTGTTTGGAATTTCATATTTTATGATTAGATAAAAGCTGTTGCTTTATTTTACTAATCCCTTTTCAATCTACTTACTTTATTCTCCTTAAGGGCTCTTATTTTGTCCTCCAAATCCTGCAGAATTCTGTCCTGCTCACAGAAAATGCTTAGCTTCACCTGGAAATGAAATAATATACATATATAACATTAGATTTTAAAAATTAAGCAGAAAAGTATCCACTTGTAATATCTTACCCCCAAAAGCATAATAATGAACATGTAACTGCACAACAGAAACAACCAAATCAGTGCAAGAGGTGCTGAAGTGGTGTTCGATACTTACATCAATATCACTTTCTGCAATCTTGACAGGTTTTGTACTTCTTTCTTTTAATGTGTCACGTCCTGTCACCTAAGAGGAACAGGTTTTAAAAATATAAGGAATTTGTTCCAAACTAAAACCTAGTTATGCTTCAGCAGTGAAAAGTTTTGTTAAATATTCATGGTTATTAACAAAAATTAATAAAATTTGGGGTACAAATATTTGCAAATTTGGCCTTAGTTTTTGAAGAGTGTTAACAGAAAGAATTACTAGTTATATTAGCCTATTTAACTCTTACAGTAGTTTAGAACTCTGTACAAAGAAGCATAATCCCACCTATCTATGCTTACAAAGGTCCTCTTCCTGCAAAATACAGTAGTTTTAACAGTTCAGCTATAATAGCTTTCTTGAAGCCAAAGGACTTGAATAGTTCCTTTAAATGGATGGTTGCAAGAATAGCAGCATTCATTAATGACTAAAAATACAACTTTTGGCAAGTATTTCATTCTACAAAGGATAGTATCTTCCTCAGCACAGGGTAAATTTTATTAAAGACAGAATGCTATAAAAATGCTATAGTGGCATTAAATGCAATTAATCTATTTTGACATGTTTATAATGTACCAAATCTCTCATTTCATAAATCACTGGTTTCATATTCCATTTCTGGTTGAGAAGATTATCTCCTCACATAACACAGTTTTTAAATCAGTACAGAAACGATATTATATTATACTTCCAACCTTCACAGTAACCTTAAAGTGAAGGCATGTCTATCTCTGTAGAAATGTTTACTATTTCCACTGCCTCCATGTGAATAATTTTTTTTTGTGAATAAATGAGGTTAAGAAAACAGCAATGTAATACAGTTCATTAATCATACATTTTTAAAAGTCTGAAAATCTAATGATTTAATATTATTAGATTACAATATTTTTAAAGATTCATTAAAGCAAATACTATCTTACCAAAGAAACACCTGGTAGCTAGTAGTACTCCTATACAGCATATTCCTATTCATATACCATCAAGAGTTTATGAAGAAAAATTCACCTGAATATTGTCTTCAATAATGTAAGAGAAGAGGTTTTAATGTAAGAGCAAAAGCTGTTGGCTTTTCTGGTGGGGTAGAAGAGGTAGTTTGCTTTTTTACTGACTGACTGGCAATTTCCAGACTTGAAGCTACATAGTTTACTTATTAACCTAAAAGTCACCTACAGGACCATGTTAGCTTTTTAAAAGTACTTCTATTTTACTCTTACTGTAGATAAATCTTTGATATAGTCTCAGCTTTAACATGTAATGTAACATGTTACATGAAATTAGCCATCCCCACATAAGTGTTTTCAAATAACAAAGCAGATTTAAAACAGAAGGGTCTGGTCATCATTTATGTTTAGTGTCTTCTCTCCTCCAATGGCAGGCTCCATTTAAAGACTTCTCATACCTTTATGTGGTGAAATGTTACTTCCCCACCACCAAAACCAAAAGCACTTATTGCCTCTCCAAACTTTCAATTTTTTGATATTTTCTTTTTCAACAATGATGTGGGTTTTTTTCTTTCAAAAGTATTAATGGAATTATTTAAATGCTAAATCACATATATAATAGTAATGTAATTAAATACAAATATAAAATACTAGCAATCAAAGTAATAATTTTGCATATTTCATCACCTGCAAGCTAAGAGAATGCAAAAGCCTTTTTCAAAGCAATGGCATTAACATAAAAACAAGTCTGCAGATTTTGAGGATACTTTAACTTACATAATCAAAATTGTAAGGAATTTGTTAATTATCAAGCAGTGAACATGAGAACATAATGAAGATTTAGCATGCTTTCACGTTTCCAAAATTTCACAGAGGAGTCACTACTTGACACAATCGTTTTCAAAATTAAACCAAACACTGAAGTCAGCCATAATTTCGCATACAGACTCCAAATGAGGGGAAAAAAGGAAAAAAAAAAAGGAAAGAAAAAAATAATCTCACAGAAAGCGCTACTGTTTATCATAAGACACCTATAAAAGCCAGAACACTGACTGCTACTTTAAAAAGCAATGGGATGAGCACATTTCAGATGCAGGCAGTCTTACATGTATACTGGATAGTAACCCTTGTGCTGAGTTCTTTAGCACTTTGTATATCATGTTGATCAGAGGTCCATTATTTTCTATCTGTTTCAAACAAAAGTTTAGTAATAGCTTGTTACAGATGTCAAGATTTAAACCCCCAAACTTTACAACTCAAAACTCCACGAGCAGCAGTAATCACATGCTCTTGTGTTACACCGATCCTCAAGGTTTATGGTCTGCACGATCTGCCATGATGGAAGCTACACCTGGAATCTACCCCTATTGTCTCATATTTTTGATAGATTCTTCATACAACAATAAGGCTTTTCTACTTCTTCAAAACACACATTAAAAAAAAAAACAAACCAGGATTTGCTCAGTCTCATCCAGTTGCAGTTTCAACACACCATGGTATTTTCTGTCACGTAATATTCAGTGACGCTTGCACCGAGAACTCTCTACACTGATAATTTGAGCAACCTAGTTAAAACCTCAGAGAAAAATGTTATTTCAATCACTTTTATCCCTCCTCCCATAACATATACCTGCTGTGCACTGTATTCTTCATTATCTAAGTGACAAAAGTTTGCAGAAGAAACCTCTTTCAACTGCAGAAGAAACTAAGCAGCTTCAGATATTACAGCCTGACTGCAGAAGAATGAAGCAGGACCCCTGAGAGGGCTCCAGATTTCCTTCAACTGGTTGCACAATTTATACTTAGTGACACAAATTTTCCTAGATTTCCTCATCCATATTTTGTATAACTTGCTAGGGAATGTTTGTAAAGTATTCTGACATGAGGCTGCCCATCCATCCCTCCTGTAGCCTGCCTGAACTTCATTTCATAGCCACAAAAAGGGGATGCTCACGTCACCATTTGTGTTTCACCTTATTTGTAAAGTCATCTTAGAAGCTTCGGGGGAAATTGATTTTTTTCTTTTCTTTGCTCTTCCTTTCTGCTTTTCTAATACAGGGTCTATCCACTTTAAAGATTGAAAAAATCCAACTGTAGAAACACAGTTGTGCAAATCTGTGCAGAAGAGGCATAATTATGCCATAGCATATAAATATACCATTTCTTCCATGTTCCACATGCCTCTATTTCATGGGTTAAAGAAGAATACAGAGTCTTGGCAACAATCTGGGGAGAAAAAAGGCTCCTAATCTAAGGACAATATTGTTAAAAGAAACCTCCACAATGCATGGTGTTTTGCATCTTCAAAATTATCAATAATTTTTCCTCACGGTGTGAGCAAACAGTCTTTAGACTTATTCTTTTTTTCATGTCAGAACTAACTGATATGTAAGACAAAACTACTGACATGGATTAATATCCATCTTAGAGCGTTTTTATTTCATTTATACTTATGATGTGACAATACACTATAATGTTGAAAATATAATCTTAACACAAAAATTATTTCTTATATAGTATTTTAAGACTGTTAAATAGTAAAAAAATAGGCTCAAAAACATGTGAGCCTCAACAAATCACTAAATGCTGTGTAACCAGTTACTACAATCAGTTTTAGTACTATGGCAAGCATTATGCAGTTAATTGCTTAATCACAATTTACATGTTGAAAAGTCGTATTTCAAAACCCCTAAGAAGAGAAATCTTCAGAAATAAGAGATTTAGTGAAAAGAAAAAAGTTCAACTCCAGTTCCAAAATCTTCAGTCCTATTTGAAACTGTTTAATTAGCATGAGTGTGGTGAAGTCAAAAGAGAGGCTTGAACTAACAGGCTTTCTATCTAAGCCTTCATTGTCTTAAATGGATTAACTGTGAATTTGTCACAGTTTACTAGAAAAATATATAATTTGCTTAGTTTCATACAGCACACTCTTCTTTTTTCCTCTTACTGCAAAAAAAAGCACCTCTGCATCTAGTGGCAACCAACACAAAGACACTTTCTTAAGTGTCACGTGGTCTTCAATCTCTCAGCAACCTGACAGGAATTTGTACATTTCCGGACCTCTACTGAAAGGAGGTCATTAAGAAATGCCCATTTTGAAAAATTACATCATTCCTATGGAAACACACTTGACATTTTGACTGTCAAAAATTTTCAAAAGGGAACCAACACTAGCATTAAGTTTCTTTTCGCTGAAGGATCAGGTGCCGCCGTACATTTCTCTTTCTGGCTGATTTCATTAGGTGCTACACAGGCACAGTGGGAGCTCCTGGGAGACCAAACAGTTCTTCATATCCCAGGTTGCAACAAATGAATCTGGACAGAATCTGCTAGAAAGTTAAAAACGCCTCCTAATAATTCTGCTAAGCATATCGAATTTTCAGAGGTTTGAACTGTGGTCACCTTAACTGTGAAAACTGTCGTGTTTTATAATGGACAAAACACTGTGTTTATTAATGATTTCTCAACTTGTAGAACTTTTTAGATTGTAATTTGTCATAAAATTCAGCTGATGGTTTGGGATGCATGGTAAAGCCATGAACAAACCAAGGACAAGGCCTAAAATTAAATGTGTCTAACCAATTTTAAATTTCTATATTAATGATTCCAACAGTTTACATATTTGATAATTTAGACTATATATACCATCTATATGATAAATATTAAATCTCTCTCTATATATATAATATTATATATATGTATAAAATGTATTACTAATATTTTTTGTTTATATATTTGGTTATATATTCAGCAATTAAAACATCAGATAAAATAGAAATACACATCCTCATAGGTGCAGTCAGCTCATTAGCTGCACATATGCAATACCCCATGGCATCAACTATGTACATGCAAACAATATGGAGAACAAAGTGCCAAATTTCCCTCCACCTTGATTTTCAGGAACACCACACGATTTATATATGGTGAGACATCTTACACATCTTCGAAAGTGGCAGACTGCTTTGCTAAGCAAAATAATTATACCATTTTGGTGGGCTTTTTCCCCTTCAAAACCTGATATTAAGAAGTCTAGATTTGCTTTCAAATTACTAACCATCAAGTGCACCAGATACAGAAGTAATTTCGTTTAGACAGATGATATGATGCTCAATACATTATTTAATTTTTTCTTTAAAAGAATATCTCATAACATTACTTGGTCAGATTACGGATGGATGGATGAATGGGTGCATTTGAAATCTCTTAGTTGTAATAACACAAAAACAATGACAGGTGCTAATTAATCACCACATTTTCACAAGAGCACAAGGCATTATAAATATGGCATATTACAAAAACAAGGAAAAAGCCAGTTCAAGAATATTTAAAGAGAAAAATATTAAAAGAACACATAATTTAACTTAGAGGTGTTGACTTCATATTGGTTCTAATGCTACAGCGTAGAAACATTTTGAACCTGATTTTTTATCTGATTTCCCTAAACCCACATATCATCCATCTATAGTCCCAGTAACCCAAGTTCCTCCTACAAACTAAAGCAACTACATTTTCTGAGTTTTCACTTTAATTGTGCAATCATTACCAAAATGACACTCAATATTCTAAGGACAACAGTGAGGCAAAAAACACAGTTTCTGTCTCTGACTAGTAGGTGACTTGAAAATTTGCAGGTACAAAGATGATACACAAAAGACAACTGGGTTAAAAAAAAAAAAAAGGAAATATACTGCTGTAAAATCTTACCTTTAGATCCAAATACTCCAGATCCTTTTTCAACTGGATATAAGTGTCATCAGCCTTCAGATAAGTGCATAGGGAAAAAAAACAATGCAATGTATTTGAATTTTTGAAACAATTTCAGAATACTTGGATTGATTATATATAAGAAAATAGATGAAAGAGGGAACAAAATAACAGAGTAGGAAGTACATAAAAAAGCACATTTGCTCCACCAGCATATTGCTATTTACAGCTGAAAAATGGGCAAAATATTTCGCAAGAATATTACTGCCTTATACCCATACTCCAAACACACAGATTTTTGCTTTCCACCTCTAATGAGACACAGAACTACCTCAAACAATACATTTTCAAAAGCTATACTTTCAAGATCAATTTCTACTGACTATTCCTTCACTGAAAAAGTTATGGTGGTGTCCTCCCTGCCTCTTTGGGGGAAGAAGAGAAGACTTGTACCTAACAATGTCAGATGTAACTAGAAGCCATCATATAACTAATCATTAGAATACTTTTGATCACAATTCATACACATTTTAAAATATTAATTCCTTTATTCATGGAAAGTATGAAATAAGTTTTGTGACTAAAATACTGAAAAATATCTCACGGTTAGAGAATCTATTTTGTCTTTTAAGTAATACCATTCAACTCGATTCTTATTTTTCCTTGGCTCAGCTGTAATTGCTATCAGCTTAATTTTATAGTTATATTGGTCTAGCATCATCTTCATTACAGTCACTTCGAGACAAGTCAGAACAAAGTTATTTCTCCTCTTTTCAAAATGGGTATTTGCAATACAGAAAAAAATAAAATTTTAACTGTTGCAAATGTGCTTTGTAGTCAGACAAAATGTCCCAAACTTCTAGAATTTTAACTGCTATTTTGACAGGACTTTATATCCTGGGTATATTTAGCTTCAGAATAAAAGAAAAACACAACTATATTTTTTCTCAAGTTTTGAGCCAACGAGAATGTGTAGTTAAAAAAGAAAAAAAAACCTTTATGCCATAAAATCAATAGATCACACTTGCATTTCTTTAGAGGTGTTCTCTTAAAATTCCTGTCCAATCAGCTTGTAAGGCTGGCTGAGGACTTGACTAGAAAGTCTGCCCATTTTTTGAGAAATCCCTGTTATTATAGCCCATCTTAGTGCAATTGTTCTGTAGGTGAGGTAAGTCGGGAAATGAAACTTCTTCAAATGCAAAAAAATTCCTTTAGCTTTGGGCCAAAGCCTTCACCAATTTGAAGAAATCACCACACTTTACTCCCAGATGGCTCCATTTCTGAGGCTCTAATAGGAACCAGAGAGCTCTGTAAGTACATTTCTGGTTGATCTCATATTTACAAGTTTCATAACACCAGTGCAATCAAGAGCACTGTTGATGATCCAAGACGCCCCTGAGCTTTTATGAACCAATGATCACCTGCAGAACCAACACAGTTACAAGCTCATATGAATGTACAAACTGGCTGATGCATTTCAATTTGCAGGTGATGCAGCACGTGGCACAGGGAGGCAATCTCATCATGAAAGCAGCACAAAGAAATGGTTTTGCTTTAGAATGAACTTACTTAGTATTTTAACCCACATTTCTGAAGATGCAGCATTTTCAGAAATAGTGTAAGAAGGAAAGAACACTTTGAAACATATGCACTGCTGCCATATAACTTAAAATGCTCACCTTTTACAGCAAAAACAGTAAGCAAAGAAAAACCACAAACAACCTGGGAACTGTAGAATACCAAAGAATGGGCAAGAAAGCACAGACTCAAGCATGCCACTAATGAAGCATTTGCAGAGTCACAAAATGTCATACTGCACAGATGAGCCACGCAGCAGCTGACCTGATAGGTGGAATTAGTTGGCAAGTGCTGCAGTAATTGTGCGATTGTGTAATTTCTTATACTAGCCAACTTAGCCTGATGCCTCCTTAATCGAATGAGAAGCAATGTTAGCTCTTCGGGCTGCAGGTATTTAGACACATTGTAAAGAGGAAATTAGCAGTCTTCAGGGAGAGTAACTATAATTACATTTTTCACCTCAGTGCCCAGAAAGCAGTTACTTGACATGATTAAGCAATTATTCAATTAACTCTGCATTTGGTCAAATAAACATAATAAAAGTTGAATCCTGTAATAACAAGACATCTCACCCCTGTTCATGCTGCAAATAACAGCAAAATTCCTACAGGCTTTACTGGGAGGTGGTTAAGATTAAGTTCTCATTCGAGTTATTTATGCTTTAACCAATAAAGTTAAGATTAAAGAGTACCGAGCAGGATTTTACAACTTAACTGCAACGCTCTGAGGACACGAGAGGAAGAGTAGCTGCGCTCTCCACTTACCGACTTGCCGTGCAAACTGGGCGCGCTCACGGTGTGTGTCATGTAGCCCACGGCAGGCATGGAGCGCCGGTCCAGGTGAGTGGAGCTCTGCAAGAAGCCACAGCCAGAACTCTTAAGGATTGTGTCAAGTGACAGGTATGTTGCACTCGAGGGAAAACTCAGAACGCACCTCTGCCACAGATTTTCTATTTGAATTCCCAGGGTGCTTAGATCAGGGTAGCATTCATGGGCCAGCCTGAACGGTGGATGATTAGGTAAAACTTAATCATCAACTTATATAATCAACAACTTACATGATCTTTCATACAGAAGTAAAACTTATGAATGAACAAATGCAAATTTAGCACCCTGGGGCAGATCAGCAGATTCTGGCAGTACGAGGTGCTTCAGCAGAACATGCAAAGTGGCTTCCAGCAAATAAAAAAAATTATTCATAAAGTTCCCCCCCCCAGTGTTTCCCAGAAAAAGGCTGGTTGGCTTATGCCCTCCAACAGTAGGCTTGTACTCCACACCGTAACAACTGTGAATGTTCTCTTTTAGCCAGGGAACACTAAGCTACTGACATGACTGACACCTTGTGGCAATGGCTTCCATTAATACCAAGGGGTTTTTTTAATAATCATATTTGATCTGCCCCTCTCTGCTTATAAAATGAAAACCTACTGCATACCCATCCTTTCATCTTTCTCTTAAAGTCAAAATTTATGGCTTTTTTCAAGACAGACTAAATGTCTCGTGATTTACTTTTATTCCTGTCTCTGAACTTCACTGAATGCTGTTTTGTTTTGCCTTCCCCCCTCTTTTCTTTTTTAAGTGTAACTGGATGGAATTTAATAAGCCATTACAGGGAGTGTGGAGTGTCATAGATTTCTGCAGAAGTACAGATTTAAATGTAAAAGGATGCTGTGTGCTTACATATGAAAACATAAGCCTTTTTCTCTAGAAACTTTCACAGAAGTTCCACAGAGAAGTTTTAATTACGAGGAAAACCGTGTTTCCCTATAATGGTAAAGCCAGGATGCCATAAAAAGAGCTTTATTTTATGAGTAAAATTTCTGCAGCTACATTGCACAGGAAGGGAAAAGACTGTTCTACATGCCTTCGTAAGGGATGTAATGCTCCTTCCACTTACACATGGAGAAACCAATGTGTGGTAGAATATAATCAGGCGTTAAAAAAATATTAATTTCCAGTGCTGCACATCACTAGACTATTTAATCCTCTGACAGAATATTATAAACCTATAAATGCTGAAAGACGCCCAACAGCTACACCACATATACACTTGGAAAAAAACCTAAACTGTGCACAAAGCTGCAGCCTGAAGTCACGGTCCTGAATCCACACCGGGTATCTGAATTTAAAAGTCTCTTTCTTTGCAAATACTTTCCCCACCAGAGTCCACGGTTGAGGCCAGAGAATTAGGTGAATACAGAGGCTTTCACCACCAATTATTCCAGTGTAAGAGCTACCAAGACAAGTCAATCCTTCATTGATTCAATCATGAATTTCCCCAAATTCCTTAGGCAAGGAGAGCCATGTGGAGTACCGAATAGGGAAACTTCTGTCACCTCTGGATAAGAGGGTACAACAGTCCCAACAAAAAAACCCACACTGAAATCATGGAGAAGGTTGAAGTTTCAGACCAGTACCATTTGATTTTGGTTAGCCCACTGATAAAGACTCTGCAACGGACCTAAACTATCAAATGCATGAAAAATAACTGGTTTTTTCCATAACTAAAAACTGAATCAGCTGCAAGAGTAACTACAATAGCTAAACACATAGAGAAAGCAGGCATGGCAAACACTTAAAGCTATAAGCATAAATAAATAATCAGGGAAGAGTTCATCCTGCTGAGTTTTATATTCTTGCCTACCTACTCTATATATTAAAATACTACCATTTGTGTATTCTATATATCCAAACATATGCCTTTGAGTTTTTGAATAAAAATATTCCAAACCAATGTGATGTGCCACCAATTTCCCTTTCCTAACCGACAAAAATTAATAAATGTGAAATGATCAGAATGATAAGAGCTTGATGAGAAAATTATTCATTGTATTAACTTTTACAACTTACATGATCTTTCATACACAAGGAAGGATGCAATGAAACATAACTAAATAAATTATCCATGTGTGACGCCACATGAAGAATAGTTTGAAATCAGTTATATGCATACAAACCTTTGCAGCATGATTTCGTATCTTCCTGGGTGATCCAGCAAAAGGAACGTCTACAGTCTGTCTCTCATCAGATGGTTTAACTGTAAGCCTTTCTGCAGGAGTATGTGGTCTCCTTGGGAGAAAGTTTTTTGGAGGTCCAGGTGGAGGAATATCAGATGGAGAGGGTGGAACAGATATTGATCGTGGAACATCTAATGAACTTTTTGACTTACCACGATCAATAAAGTCTGAAGAACTTACATAAAGCGGGGCAGTGGGGCTGCCGTGTTTAAATTGCTGCCTCTGCTGCCACTCATACAGCTGCCAAACAGTTCCATCCTTATTTGCTTTCCTTTCCTCCTGGGACATCTTCAAGTGGCTAACACGATCCTGTGCATATTTGTAGTCACTCGGTAGATTGCGGTTTGGTGGTGGTGAGCTCCCTGAAGGCTGCCTGGTATTCTTTGGCAAAGTGTGATAGTTTTCAGGAAAAGGAGGATTGGGACCCTGACGTGGAAGAGTCTGATCAGAAGTGAGGCTGCAAAGAGAAGGGAAGAAAAGTGTAAATTTTAGCATACATTGATGAGCGGGAGTGACTGATAAAAAAGAATCTCTAATGACATAGGCATAGGAGCTACGAGACATAAAATACAACAGTAATTTTAAAACAATTTACAGAAATATTATCAAAGTAATACTGACAAAATCTACTGCACAAAAATCTTACACTGTATAAATACAAACTTTTAATCTAGTGTCTAACCTAGGATGAACTACTAGAAATAAACTTAAGGGAGGGCAGCATTTCCTTAGACTAAAAAGAAAGTCAAGAACATGAAGAAAGGAATTATTGTTATGTTTAAAGAGTAAATCCATAAATTAAAATAGTCCTTTTCACTGAAAGCCTGTTCACCACTAGGTGGTGCAGTTTACGAAAACAAATGTATGCTCATTACAAAAAATTATCTTGAAGTGCAAGAAGAAATCTCACCAGTCACAGAATATTTCAGATAATTTTTGTTCATATGAATGAAGCAAAAAAAGGCAAGAAACTGCTCAAAGTCCCCAGGTCTGTATGATTTACTTTCACCTAATGCTACTGGTTCTACTGTTTTATCAACACAAGGCTTTTTACAACAAGCCAATGATAAACTGGAATATAAAAAGAGCTGTAATGATCCTGGCTTTAGTACTGCATCCATAATGTACTAAAACTGTAGAAACTAAACATTTTAGCAGGCAAAGAGTTAAGACAGATCTGGCAAAAGCTTTGACAAACTGTAGTTAGCTCCCCCCTACTTTGAAGTCAAAAACTTTCCATAGCCCCATGCATATGAATCTGCCTCTGTCTGATTTCTGATTCTCCAGTCAAACATCTGGGGCTTTTGTACTTGCAGTCATTCGCCCATGGATTCAGAATCTCCAACCAGAAAACCATTCTGCTAGACTTGCTACAGAGCACCATTACAAAAACTAAACAAAACCAACCAAAAAACCACAACTTAAGAAACTCATGAGCGTGTTCACCATTCCACTCAATAGACTCCACTCTGCATGAGAGGGAACCCTCATGGTTTGGAAAATGCAAGAATTCCATATGAAAGAAAGGGCAGGATGGAAAAGAACAGTCTTTCTTCAGCATCCAAGAACAACAGAAGCAGAGGAGAAAGAATTGCTACCAATAACTGCTGCTCAGTAGTTGCTTCTGTCTCCTCTTACTTGCAGGATTTGGCACTGTCAGGCTGTCTTGAAATATGGATGCTCTTGAGAGGATACATAATTCCTCGTCCCAGAAAGCAGAGTAACTGCCCTGCACCGCATGGAGGATTACAAACCTGTAAAAGCCCTGCTCTCTTATACCACAGAACTTTGACGTTACCTCAAATTTCAAGGTTAAAGCAGGCAGGTAGTATGAACAAAGGCAACTCAAAGATCAGCATAAAGTGGTCATGTAACCTCTTTTAATTGCCTAATTCACTGCATCACATGTACTTTGTATGTTTTGTACTTTGCTGCCCATTTTTTTCACAGGAAAATCACATGGTAGAAAGTTGGTAGAAATCCTCTGTTCTCTAGATAGGAATAAGAACTGAGAAAGCTTGGAGTGGATAATGTTTTGAAAGGACATCTGAGGAAAGCATGAAGCTTGGAGAGATCCCTTTGGTGATTTCTCTGCAGAAAAACAGGGAAAGGGGTTTGAACACTCCCATACTCCAACCTAGTGCAGACCTCATGAAGGCATAAGCAAACTGTTGAATGTTGCAAACCATCTGTGTGTGGTTATTTTCTAATTAGACATTAAAGGGTAAAGTATTGAGATCAGGATCAGCTGGAATTAATGGTAGTCAGTGCAGACACCAGGGGTAGCAGCTTTAGGAGCAAAACCAGCCTGAAAACAAAGACTCCATGAGCTTTGTTGGGGGCCAGGGCAATCATGCCTTTCTTCTAGAGAAGAATGAATTTGTCTGGTAGGAGCAGCTGGGAAGAGCTAGATTCATGCAATACTTCAAACAGCTAGACAAAAGAAGAAAGCTGCATGTGCATTACAGAGAAAGTCATAAAGTCATATTCAGACTAAATGCCTACATACAAGCAGGCTGTGTTTTAACAGTATATGAAGTAGGTACAAACCTCAAACTGAGATGACAAGCTTTGAGCTGGTGGCATCTCTATCACACAAGGTTTCAGTCCCTTAGAAATAACTTGCATTATATAAAAATAGGCACTAATTAATTGCTAGAAAAAGAACCATGTCCCAAATGACTCAAATTAGTCCATAATGGATTATGGACGATTGCTTTCTCAGGGATTAAGAGTAAAAATGAGCAAATGCAGCTGTTCTTGAGAATCTCCCTCTCTTGAATGATGAGATATAAAGAACATAAAAAAGAAAGCAGACACTGAAGAGTGAATAAATGGCCCGATGCCATATTATATGATTATTGGCCACAAAAATCATTTGGGGTCTGCAATGGAAACCAACCACACAGAAGATATTGTAAAAAGAGACTATAAATGTTGAAAAGAAAACAAGTACTATTATTAGAAACACTATAGCCATTCATGGAAATGCACAGAAGCTAACAAAGACAAGTAATGTTTCTTCCTTACGCAAATCAGGAAGGAACAGAAAGTTCTGCACAACAAGAAATGTTTTAACGCTGTATTTGGAAGGAAAGAAATGTCTTAACCTGACTGCATTTAGTTGGGGAATATTAAGCTTCACCAGGTTTAAATATTTTTTTAAGTGCAAATAAACTGCTGGAAATAGCAAATACTTCACAATTACGCAGTGACTATGTCTATGCAGGCACTGGAACCAGATCAAAACCTAATAATTTCTGAGCAGCTGCCGTTTGATGGTCCTGACCTTTAAGCACTTAAAACCAAAATCTCCTGAAAGCCTCCTTTCAAACCTTCTTCCAATTCTCAAGATCTCTCTCAAAGGCTAGCATGAACCTTACCAAAGCAGGTATTCCCATCTGCTGAGAACAGAGTGGGATTAGATGACTACACTGAATGTCACTGTAGTGCAGCAGAGAGTTCACTAAGAGACAGCTGAAGTGACAGCTAACATTTACAACTTAGCAAACAGTTCTGAGTGCTTTATAAAAAGGGGAAGCAAAACATCGAGTTGAAAGATATAAAGATCTATATTAAAGGTGCAATTCCTGCAAATAATTCTATGAACAAATGCTGTATTTGCGTGAAGGCTCTAGCTGAAAGAGTTCTTTCTCGTCATAACGAACTTGCTGGCAAGCATTGCATCTGTATACACCTGAGCCAGGACACAGATAAAACTGTACTCATTCTGTGTTCAGAAATTATCCAGGCTTTGGAAGACTCAGAGTTCTTTATTTGTAACATTTCAGCTGGAACAAGAGTCAACACGAAGCATTAATAAATTAAGTGATCCACTAATATTTACTAAAATCAAAATGGAATGTCAATCAAATTATCATCTCTAGCTTGAATTTTATATCCTGTAATCAAAAAGATATTTGACAACTAACATGCAGCTTCTATCTGTCAGTTGCAACAACCTCAGTAGGCTGAGAGAAGGTGCCGCTTAAAGGATCTATCAATCTTCAGGAGGGTAACGTGCAATTTATTCTGCACACAGAAAATATAATGCCATTTGGAGGGAGAGACAAAGGAAACAGGTCAACTGAGCTAAAATAGAACATTTTTAGAGAGAAAGAGAGATGCATATATATATAAATTTAGTTTCACTGAATACTTAGCAGCTCCAGCTGAGGTAGCTGGCTTTATCTAGAAAAAAACCTGGCTCCTGCAATACCACTGTCTTCACACTACACCTGATACATGCCTAAAGTTAATTTACTGGAAAGACTAATTTGGAAGCAAACAATACTTAGCTATCAGTCAAGCCTCTTACTGCCAATACTTCTAATGTAAAACACCAACAGAAGTTTTTCTAAACATTAGCTAACTAGATCAATAGTTTTCTGTATTATTTCAGACAAATACATCTATGTGTGTAATAAGAACTAACTTACCAAGTATCTTTCTTCATTAAAGTCATATTCTTTTGGGAAGCACTGATTATATCCAAGTCAAAAAGATGCAAGTTAATTGACTCTAGAAGTCTAGCAGAATGCTAAATAATATCAAAAAGTAAGAAAGCTTCTTCAAGGGCGATTCCAAAGATAAAAGAGTAGAAGAATGGACTTCCATATAAAATTAGCAAGCCTTAAATTTCTTACTGGCTCTAAAGAGACAAACATTAGCCTCAATAAGCATTAAAAAAATGTTCAAAATGTTTTCCTCCTCCTAAAAACCACATGCCTATGTCTCTTATTTCTGTATATTCTAACTAGATTTTAGCAAATTTATAAAACACTGATTCAGTAGATTAAGCATATTTGAAAAATCCTCACAAGGAGCATCAAGCCCAACTGTCTTTCCTGCCCCTTGAGACAAGGTACCATTCTGAACAAATGCATATATACATCACTTCATTTTTTCAACTGGTACTTAATCCAACTGCACACTTCAAAAGTAAAGCAATTATGGGATTTTCAAACTACAAAAGCATTCCAGTGTGCATTCCTTCTATTGGTGCAAATTATGTAATTTTCAGGGACTGAAAAGGGAAAAGAGAATCCTGGAGACCATGGGAACATCCTAGGACCTCTGCATTAACTAAATGAATATATGGAGACCTTTCAGTATGGGATGCACACACTGTGACTTCGAGTGCAGTGATCTGATATAGAGAAGTGAATGGATGTTTGGAACAGGAACAGAAGGGAGAAGAAAAGCAATCAGCATTCTTTACTTTTAAGTGGAAAACAAACAATTATCTATCATTTATATTGTGCAGTTGTTTATGAATAAGAAGTAACTGAGAGCTGCACTTCACTTTCCGGCTCTTCAAAATTTAAGCAAATTTTAAGAAGTTTTAAGTATCCACAGTGATTAAAAACAGTAAGAAACCCCCAGCACACTAATCTCACTTATTCTGTTTGCAATATTGTGACAACATTAAAGAGATTTGATTAGCCAATCCCATATTGACTTTCCCATGAGATAAACGCCTGAAAACTACCATTCTGCACCGAAGGAGAAAGTAAGTTTTCTTATATATTGTCTCTGTAAAGTATCATTCTGATTTGCACCAAAGATATTACTAACACATATTTTCCTTTAGCTTAAGAAAATGCCAGTTGGCAATCTATTTAAAGATGGACCTATTACTAACCTTTTTGTATCTCCTTTTTGGACTTTTACCCAGTGTTCCACTTGAGCCATGTTACTTTTTCTTTGAAACTGCTTATCTGGATTTGCTCTGGGAACAAACCCTCTTTTATATGAGCCAGTACCATTCTGCTCCACTAGGCCAGCACTCACACTTAATGAACTAGGAAGGGTTCCATTCTTCTCAGCTGGCTGAGGTTGAGCTACTTGGGACCACGATGCCTTCGATGCATTCGTTAAGTCTGGAAATAATGAATCAGCTTCTGTTAACACATGCTTGGCCTTTCCCTTTTTAGTTTCCAGAGTTCCTTTTCTGTGAATATAAGGCTCCTCCTCCTCCTTTTCTCTTCTTATCTCTTCGCGCTTATCATATCCAAGCATTTCAGCTGATTTTGGATAACTTTCTTTTGTATCTGTAATCTCTCCCTTCACACACCCTTTACTGGCATCCACATGATTGACTTGGGGAACAGCTTGCTGATCCACTTTTTCAGTTTCTCTGAAAAGAAAATACATGTCAGTAATGAACACTGTGTAATTGTGAAAAGTTGATGTGGTCTCATTACTTTTTCAGAAAGAATACTCACATAAGTATTCTGCAGGCTGTGATATAACTGACATGTTAAGATAGATATGTTCACCAAACTCAGTTGTTATCCCAGTTAGACAAAAGTTACCTTTACAGTGTTGTCAAGGAGGCAGAAATTACTTATTGGCGTCGGTAAAAATGACTGAAAATATTAATTTTGTCAAAAGAAGTGTTCAACTTGTGTAATATTATGTACAAAAAGATATAAAAGAGAAAGTCTTCCTATCCTAGGAAATGCTGAAAGCCAAAAAAAACAAAACCAAACTGCCAACTGCTCAGTGCAAAGTAAAAAAAAGTCTCTTTGTATCTTCGTAGATGCTTTAAGGACTAGTCATTTCTGGCCAAGAGAACAGAGCAATATCTACATTTGAGTCAATACTATTGTCCAGGGAATTTCTATAGGAGGGCTATTTCTGAAACAAACAAACAAAAAAACAAAGTTAAAAATGTCCATTGCTCCTAACACATGCTGCAGCGCACACTAGTTTACTTATTTACCTTACTGCCTAAATATTTCAAAAAGTCCACACTAGAAATCTTGATACTAAACTTCGAACATGCTATAAAATGTCTAAGGATCCTAAAAGTTTCATGTGGCTTTTGACACACAGCATACTTAATTTGCAATTTTCTTCATCTCCTTATAGCAATAACCTTCTTGACAACATTTTCTTCTCTCACAATTCAATGGGATATCATTGATCTCAGAGTAGCACCTCATCTTTGAAATTAAGTTCAGATTCTTTATGGAAGGTAAATTCTGAGTAACACAATTGTTTTCTCTTCAGTCTACTTAGAAATGAATAGTCTACGTAGGAGGAAGGACACTGGATCAATACTTCTAATGTGCCCAATTCCCCAGTGTTTCTTTTAATTATTCCTTATAAAGATGATAAAGAAAAATCCAGGTACCAGGTTATATGTTACTTGAAATTTAAATGAAATCCTGAAAGTCTTAATATAGGATGCAAAGCTCTGGAAGAGATGTTGATCCTTTGCTTACATATGACTGGCCAAAAGAAAGCAGTAGTGCAAGATACTCTGAGAAACTGCACGTGACATTTTAATCCTCACAGCCCCAGTGGTTAAAAGCAGGGTTGTCTCACAGTACAGTCTTCTTTCACATGCAGTTGTAGGGAAAGAAACACATTCCAAAGCCAAAACATCAAGAAAGCTACATCAATTTTAAGAAAAGGAAAAACCTGAAAATACATTTTGGCACAGCTGAATTTGTTCATAATTAGTTCATAACTGCATAAATTAGTTATTATTATAAATTAATATCAATTAACTCTCTGCACTTATGAGTTACCCATCTTTAACGTCCTTTCCCCCCTTAACAGCACTTTAATCCTAGTTCTAAATGCTCATTTGAAACAAGTCATTAGACTTCTGTCTTTCCTCTTTTACTTATCTCTCCTAAAGCATGTCAATTGGTTCTCACAGGTGTAGGAATCTGCTCACAGAAACTGTAACTTTTTAATTGCAATTCCTTAAAATATTATATATATATATATATATATAAAAAGTAATCCATGTCATTAAATGTAAGCACACAATTTGATGTACACATGAATACTGAACACCAGGTTTTCCTAATTAATATCAGTGAACTGATTTGCAACAGAATGTGAATGAAAAATAATTATTTTTTTAAAATGGGAACGAGTTTCATCCACATATTTACAAACGACACTCTCGGAAATCACCGTGATTTCCAAGACATAAATCAAACGTGATTTATATAACACATATTTAATTTAAAAAGCCAACAGCTTCTGTATGGAACTTGCCTCTTCAGTGAAGAGCGTGTTTGCATAAGAGCAGCTTGGTTCATAGCCCGGATCCAGCCATTCATATCCTCCTGGGTATCAGCACTGAAGTAGTATGTCCTCATCCCTGAATGCTCTGCCTGAGAGCCAATAACAGAATTCTTATTATAAATATATGCCCGCATACCTGTATGAACAGCCTGGGAGGAGAAAAAAAAAAAAAAAAGAAATAAAAATCAGAACAGCTCTTTCATTTTTTCCCCCCCACTAAAAAATTTACTGAAAAAAAAACCCTTCCGGATTCTGACTGCTGATTGAATCTTGGGTAAATTATCACACTGCCAAAATGGGCTGTAGTGCAGTGAACTCAGATGGCAGTTCAATTTTCACTGAAATTCCTCTGCCTCATTCTAGAACTATTAAGCTAAAAGTACAGTGCTTCTGTTTTTCATAGTAGGAAATTTCAGCTTTTCATTTTCTTTTAATTGATGCATTTCATTTGTAATAAATATTATACTAAAAAAATCTAAGAAATCCTCGATGAGACATGTATAAGCAAGTCAATTTTCCCAGCTCATTTAATAAAGCAATTTATGCAGACAAAACACAGACAAAATTTCAAGCAATTAAACTGCTTATTTAAGAATTGATTATAATGCCTGTTAAGATCTTTTGGTTACAGCGTGCACTTGAACATATATTAGCTGCAAAATCACAAGACTTACTGATAAAGTTAGTAATCCTGATGGAACTATCACAGCACATAATATACTGACAAGTATCTTTGCACACCAAAATACTCCATGAAATTCCACTGCAAACTAGAGGTATTTCACAATTCCTCCATAAATTTGTTCAATATTCAAATGTATTCAACATGGAATGTCTTCATAACTCCAGGCTAGTTGAATTTAATAAAATCTCACCCACATTTGTATAAGTGATAGTATAGATATTACTAAGTCATACCAGTCCTGAAACACTTACTATATTTCCTCAAAGTTATTTTACAGATGTGCTTCAGATTAGTAGGGAGAGATTCATCTCCTTACTTTCCAAAAAAACTAAAGATAGTATACACTGCTTCAAAGCTCTTTTATGATATTAAAATGAAATTAGTAATTTAAATTCCATTTTATAAAACTAAATCTGCTATCACGCACAAAAACTAATAGCATGAAACGCTGCTGAGACAGGGTTTTTTTAAAAAGAAAAAAATTATATCAACGTTTTAATTTGGCCACATCTTCTTTTAGAGGTTAAATGTATTTTGCAAACCTTCCCTAAATAATTGGTCTCTTTATATTGATGAAAACTTCTTCCCATCATTATTCCAAATTAAATAAAAAACCACTCTACAATCATAGATGGCTTCAGAAACACAACAACAGTTTTGAACAAAACCCAGGCTATTTAATCCAGTGCAGCCCTCCCTAAACATTATAATTTCAGTTGTTTACCCTAAATTTCCAAAATTACCATACTCTTAGAGACTTGTATTAACAATTTCAAAGAGCAAAATACGTGCTTGCTAATAGAGTGCTTTCAAATTCTGTGGAAAATTTCCCCCCTTTCTATTGCAGCCTGTTCTCCCAAACATGTGAAAGGTGGCCTTTCCCTTCTGCACCCCAAGCAAGGAAGCCTGAGTTTGCTTTGAAAACTGGAGACAAGCAGAACAGTCAGCTACAAAAAGAAGGAGCAGAAGAAGGAAGAGGAAGAAAAGGTTGCATAAAGAAGTCCAAGACTCTCTTCTGCCCGAAAGAGTCTCTGCTTCCCAACAGCACTGGCCAGTAAGGGAATACAAGGTGATTTCTCCTCCATTCCCACAATTAGCTACCTACCTTAATACAGGAAAACAGGACCTCCACACATTAAATAGTAGCTCTGATCAATCACATATTTAAGAATCGAAAGACTTTGTTCATGTTTGCCTGGTTCAGTTCTTTGGGTTTTCTTTGTTGTTACTGAGGGTTGTCTTTTTTTTTTTTTTTGCCATTTTGACTGCACTAAAATGCTCAAAGCAAATATGATATGAATATTAATTCATTTCAATTTATGTTTAGTGTCCAGTGTATGAAGAGACAAAAACTAGCAGCTTCAGATATAAAGGAAAATGGTGATTTTAATGTGAGACTTTAGGACTACATTGCTCCTTCAGAGATCACGTTGAGCCCATAGAAGGTGTCAAAATTCAGAAGTGAAGTGACTCCTGCAGAAAACCAGACTACATATGCCCCACTGCAGATGGTGCAGTAGGACCCAACCATTCACTGGTTATACACCTGCTTATAAGAAACAAAAGCTTGGGTAACTATCAGCAGCAACTGTGTAGCACATCAAGAAATGGATTTAACAGCTATCTTAACTGACCTGTACATCCCAATCAGCATAACCCACCTGCACTTCAGGTTCTCTTTCAGCTGTGCATGCTGAACACAGCTGAAAGCACTGCCTAAGAGGCTCTAGGTGAAAACGGTATAAAAATGCAAACTGTGTTGCACCATTCTCCCTTGAGACTGGAGCTATCACAGCCATAAACATTCACAGCTTCAGAAGGGATAATAGAGATGGTGTGCAATAATCAACAAACACAACATTCTGAAGTTTGTAATATAAAACACTGGTTAAAGGAAAATTTAAATTTATTTCAGTTATTTATTAGTAGCATATCTTATATGCAAGAAAGCACTTTGTGCCAATGGCCTGTAGCTGTAACTGCTAGCAGACAGAAGCCAGCAGGCTTTTTGGTTTGGGTTTTTTTTTTTTAAAGCAAAAGCCATTAGGATGACTACAGCATACTAAAAAGCCTAAAACACAGCACATGCGCACATGTATGCCACACACACAACAGGGAAAAAATAATATTGGTACCTATTCATGCATTCAGATGCCTTAATGTAGATACACTGAGAAGAAAAGCAGTCTCTCTCCCATAGTGCACAGTAGGAGAAATGGACAGTAAACCCCAAGAGCACATCAACAGGACAAGACAAGGACAAAAAGTTAAACAAGTTAAAATCAGTAAAAGATTCATGTTTCCAAGACAATACTTAACAAAAGACTATACTAAAAGTAACTAATGCCTACAGCAGTTATGTTCACGTCCACTTGTTCAAAATTCCTAGGAGAGAATAAGCCACCATTCATAGGACAAATGGATGGGGAAGGGAATAGTTTTCTAATAACTGTAAACTTTCAAAATAAGTTCTCTCAATAAGCTATAATGTACACTTTGATATTTATGAACCATTTATGAGTAAAAATTGAAATAATACTCCGACCCTTCACTACGAACTCAACAACAGCACACTACAATCTAACTCGTCTTTCACCCTCAAATAATATCGAGCTTTTTAAGGACTTGTAGAAACTTGAACACTCCCCTCTTCCAGATTTTAAAATAGCACCCCTCAAATCTATAGGCCTTGGTATTTCTTCACCTGACTCCCCACACTAGGAGAAGTTCTATAAGCAATATGGGAGCCTAAGGAAGCAACACTGATTCAGAGAACATAAAGGAACAAACTGTGTCAATTTTCTTTTTTTTTTTTTTTTAGGAAAATCACTGAGATCAAGGAAATAGATATGAAGTTTGCTCTGGTCCCAGCAGGTCTAAGCAATGAACAAATACTTCCATTAGTAAGACCTAGAGTGTCAATAATAAAGAGATGGGTTTTTTTAAATCCAAGCTGCAGTAGCCTCCTTTGGAAGTAATGATTTGGCCTGGCTTCCAAGGCTCTGAATGTTCTCATGCTGAAAAGGTGAACCTCTGAAAAAATGTTAAAAGTAGTATCGAAATAAAAAGTTGTAACATGTGTCTCCAACGCTACTTCCTACCTCGTACAGGAACACCAGAACATTCTTCACTGACTTTATCTGGTATCAAGATATGCACCTAAATACAAATATATACTTGCATACACTGTCTTTGTATGAAGTTTTCTTGTTTTCTTTACAGCTAACTCTGGTAGGCCTTCCAAATTTCTCAATTTTTAATACTGTCAGATTCATATAAATATGTTTACTTTCAGTAGTCTCTCTTATATTTTAACACATATAGATCAATTAAAAATAATTTTCATTATTGAGGACAAGGCTTCTAAAGAGACTGTGATGACATGAACGTTCATAAACTAATACTATCCATGTTTAAAACTGACCTATTACTAAAACATACAGTCAATTCTCAGTTAATCACAAGGAGTATTTCCAGCTATATATTAATGTTATGTAAGCCTTTTCACATTATAAATCTAAACACTGGATTTGTGCTCACTTACATTCATATCAACAAAAAAATTACTGTACTTTAAAATACAGCAATTAGATTAATTAAATATCTTTAGGACATTAGCTACCAACTAAATATGCAGTAAGAACCCTGAGTTCTAAGCTGTCATATAGCTTAGTGACAGTAGCTTACAGCTAGTCACAGCACTTGGCTTGGGCCAAATAAACAATGTGAAAAAACTGTGAAGACAGAGACTTAAAAGCAGAGTTTCTAAACAAAACAATTTAACACACATACTGCTACACTTCAAAGTAGGGGTCTGATTGCATTTGAAAAGCCTGTACCCAGTTCTGCAGGCCTATGATTGTTAAACACCCAAAGAGACACAAGAGCTTAAAGCTGGGCCTCAGGAGGTGATGAATGGAAAAGGATTTTGAGAACTCCTGCGGTGCACATTTTAAATTATCAGGGTTTAACATACATGCCCTACTGAGCATGTATTTTACAAACCTCCAATCCAAATCATGTGCAAAAAGCATCCATGTATTTGCTGCGTGAATTTCCTTCCTCTAGTTTTGCAAACAAACATGTTGATTTTTTTTCTGCAGTTTTACTGTTTCCCTTGCTTCAAAACCCACTGCCACTTAAAACAGCCACTTAAAATGGGAGCCAATACCTCCACTGTAACAGAAGATTTACAACAACCTGAATAAAGGACAAGACAAATGTAAAAAGTGACATGGCACATTCTCCCACTCATTCAGGTCTTAAATGCAAAAAAGTCTTATCTTTATTTTGGGCTTAATCTGCTTGTGTGTTCTATTCCTGGCTGCACTACGCTGCGAGACAGAATGTCCGTCTACGCTCTGGATATCGAAGGGTACTGAGGAGATTAGATAAAGGTAATGGCTGGTGAGTGATGGAATGCCAGGACGGTCGTGCTCCTGCTGCTGTGCGCCCACAGCCAACTCAGTGTCCACGGAACGTCAGTGTTGGACAGGGTCCATACAAACAGGAATCTTACAAAATCCTCCTACTGGCCTTCGAGTTCGTTCTGAATTAAATAAAACCCCAGCATCAAGCCTGCAGTCAATCATCAAACACCTAAAGCAGAGTTAAAATTGGGCCGATAAACTAATACATGAAATGTTGAGGGGTTTTTTATAGAGATTCCTAGCATAAACTTTCCTTTGCTATCAACACCCTATTTCTATCTATATCAACCTTTTAATAACAAGCCTGTGTTGAAAGTCTCAGGTTACAGGCTCATGCTGATTTTCAGAAAAAGACTCAGATTAAAGACCTGGTAGAGCTCATACAGGTATGATATCCTAAAAGGAACAGTCTGTATTTGCTTCTGAAAATGTTTAACCATGATCACACACCATGGATTCTGCTCCATGGGAAAGGAGAGCCACAACCTGGGCAGTGGTGACTGAAGAGCGTGTGTGTAAACACTGTTTCAATAAAATAAAAAGCAGGGAAGCCTGGAAGAGTATATTGAGTTCTTCTCTTTCAGTATACATTTCTTGCTAGGAAAAGGCTCTAGAAGAGGAAGGCTTTATGAATCACACTCAGAAAATAGTGGAGTGGAATGTTTCTCTTAAACAAAGGTTCCTTTGTAGCATATCCTGCTATCTCATGCTCAGTGCATTTGAAAAAGTACAATAAATATTTCCACAAAGTGCACTCAGTGTTTTTAAACATATTTCCCAAGTTAATATTTGTTTAATAAATTTCAAACCATTATCCACTTGAACACAGAACCGAAAGTAATAAGAGGCAGTCTCAATTTTAAAACACCCCCAAAAAATTAAAATGCAAGGGAAAATATAGTCTGAGCAGATGTTCTTCATAATTTCAGCACAGAAAATATTTAAACAGAGAGTTTCCTTCTAGATCTCCTAAAGTATGCCTGATCAAAACCTGGTTTGTAAATTATTTTTTTAAAGTACATAGCTCATTTGCTTGACAGAAAAACCAGTTCTGCTCCAAATATTGGTAGACTTTAAATCTGCCACAGGCACATAAGTTTTCAAACTTTGCCTCAGTGGTGTAGCTCAGACAGTCACTTAGAGTCAGGTTTTTACACTGCCGAGAAGAAATATATGGTTTATTTCATATTTGTGGGCTTTTATAATGAAGACTAGAAGTGTAAATTATACAATTACATTTTTTTAGAAAAAGAAAAATACACAAAACCAACTTCAGACTATATCAAATAAGAGTACTTTTTCCTTTTAAAAGTCCATGCCACTTAGGATGTCTGTAGCTTCCTCCCAAAAAAGGAGAGAAAAATTGGTTACTCTTTTTCCCTTTGAAATCAGGAAAAGAAACACCAAGAGCTACAGTATTGTCATTTTCCAACTGTGAGAACTAAGCTATTTCTTTTATTTATAAAAAACCACAACAAAGCCAAACAGACATCAGTCTATTATGAGATCAAGTACTCTATAAATAAGAAAATCTTTCTTTCAATTTGTAGACAGTACTGGAACAACTTATTGATACTAATTTCTGATTTTAGAAACAGGATCTTTACTCACAGACACTTCATTAAGCTCTAAAGACACTTACAAAGTAACAGACATGAATGTCAATTCATAAGCAACAAAAAAGTGCTATGTCACATTTTGACAGGCAGCCAATAAACCTGTCTACTTTTAAAAAATAATAATAAACAGATTAGGAAAACAGATGATGTTTCTGTTTACAGAAGCAGCATTTCTAATGCAAATAAACTATGATTGGTTAATAAGGCTTGTAAACTGTACCTTAAAAGAAAACTTGCGATTTATACGATCTTCAGGTCCAACTGGAGATATGACATAACTAGGCAAGGGTATGCTCCCCAGAACAGATTCTTCTCTGCTGTCTGTTGAAGGAAAAAAAATAGAATTTAATTCCCTGCACTATTCAGTGGGCTAACAACACATTCTCCTTTATGGGCACACAGACAACAGTCGTTCAGTAGAAAGAAGAGTGGTTCAGACTGGATATAAGGAAAATAATTTTCCCCATGAGGACAGAGCAGCAAGGGAACAGGCCAACCAGGATGGCTGTGCTATCTCCATCCTTGGAGGTTTTCAAGGTCTGACTAGATTAAGCCCTGAGCAACCTGGGCTGACTCCTTTCCCGACCCTGCTTTCACCAGGCAGTAGGACAAAAGACCCTTCTGACCCGAACTCACTTGTGACTCAACACTAAAACTACACACAGAAAAATGTTTTATTTTTAAAGAAACAAGATTGAATTTTTTTTTTAAATCAGTTTGGTTTTTTATTGAGGTTTGTTCTTTTCTTGGGGGGTGAGTGGGTGGATGTTGGTTTTTTAGGTTCAGCCAGAAGACTACACTTCAAGAATAAAGCTTATTGTGCCAAATGAACTGTGACAGGTTGCATGACATGACGGACCTTCCATTTAGCATTGTTCATCTAGGCTAATTGCTATAATTAGGAAACCTCTATTACTGCTGGCTCTAAGTGATCATCAGTAAAAATGCAGTGCCTAGGAATATGAATTCCAAGTTTCATGTTCTGTAATCCTTTCAATCTTCAAAAGCAATATTCAAAACTTGAAAATAGCCTTATGTAATACCATTATTCCTAATTTGGCCTAAGATCACATCTAACCTTTTTTTGGTAGATTACTGGATTCAGAAGTTCTCACTCTTACATTGTCCCCTGGATTAAAGCTGAATCAGTACCCTGATCTGGCCATAGAAAGTTCTCAAAAAACTCAGATCTCCAAGTGCAAGCAGGTAGGTAACACAATACAGACCAGACATGGGATAAATCTTATTTATTGCAGTCAAGTGTTCTGCAATGTAAACCTTGGCATATATCAAAGATAAGTTTTAAGACAAAATATCATACAGTATCTCCTGCTTCCCCTACTCTAGCCCCAAATTAGCTGCGCACTACAAATGTACAGACAAACACCTCTTTCTCTATTCATCTTCTCAGAATACCTAACTATAGCTGAACAGCTCAATTAGTTCATTAATTTAGTGTGATTTGTACAGGAGAACTGTTACAGACTAACTCAAAACAGCGAGTATCTACTCACCTTTGTAGTAAAACAAACAATAATCAGCAAGCACAAACCATCGCCTTTTCCATAATCGCATTCCAGAGCTATCCTGAAATGCAAGAAATGCAACACACTTTTCATTTAATGGAAGTTAAAAGCTTATCATACAATGCTGATCCAGTGAGTAGTTTATCAGAAGTTTACCTAAATATGATTAATACTTGCAAAACAAGTGCTTTCTATTTTAGCAAAACATTATGTACTAAGAAAGATAAGAGGCAAAACATCCAGCTATAAAATAATGAGGGCAGAATATTCCAACTGCTAATTTTCATTAAGTAATTAGACTTGCATCCCTAACAGCATTCAGATTAACTTTATACACAACCAATGCATATTTAATCTACACAGATTTATCTGCAATAAAGAAACAAAATATACTTCCGGATGGCACAGACTCCAACAAAAATTGCCTGTAGACCAACACAAAAATCACTACACAGTTGTGAAGTATGACATCAGATTTCAGGTAATGATATCCTATAATTCTACAGTCAATCTCCATATGTTACCCATGCCTAAAACATAATTTAATAAAATATTCCTTAGGAAATAAAACAGGGTGCATAACGTGCAAATTTTAATGAAGTATAATATAATATGCCAGTGGAGATCCATATATATCTATCTCTATCCATATATATATATATCTCACCTTGTCAAAATGAGTAATATTTGCATTGAAATTAATTTTAGAAGCTTGTGAAATTGCCAGACTGTAACCTGAGGAAGTACAACTTATTCAGCTCAGGTAGGCTTTGATAAGACCAGCAGCATAGAAAGTATCTTCAGGCTTTAAGAGTTAATAAGTAGAGGGAAGGGGACAGAAGGAAACAGGATATACAACATTGCTCCAGCTATTGCTCTCCTCCTTTCTGCAGTCAAATTAAGTATGCAGGGACTTTTTTCCCTTCCCATTTTCACGCTACTATGTTGTCAACACACACTGTGTCCAAGTTCTGATTCTGTCCTGAAAACTAATGGACTTGGGCAGTAAATGTCAACAGAGCTGAGACCAGAACACAGCAGAATTACAGCTCTCCAAGCAGGAGGAAGTGAACGGCTGTCAGCAAATTTCACTTCGCTCTACACATAGAATCATAACTGTAAGCCTGAGATTTCAGCCTTCTCCTACTCATCCCTAAACTTTCCTACTGGATCTCTGGTGATAATCTGGTGGACGCCGACTGCCAAATTAGAAGCAGGGAAGTATTCTCATACAACAAACAGCTTTATTTACTTATTGCACTCAAGGATGTGCTTCTGTCAGGCTTAAGAGTTCAAGATGTTGCAGCTGTAGAAGTCTGTTCACTGATGAAATTCTATAATCCAGCCTTTGCTGGATACTGTTCTTGGTGACAGCAATGTCTGATGAATGGGTCCCTGTTTCCCATAATTTTCTCCCTCCTGCTTTTGGAGAACAAAAGGTATGTGGGTTGGAATTAAGCCTTGATGGGGGTAGAATGGCATAAACAAGCAGATGGAATAAGGTCTTCACAGCCAGTGTTGTTCTGAGGGAGATCAAGATCATCATGGCAAGAAGCCACCAGGATTAAACCAGGAAAATAACAAGATTTAGACAACAATGTTATAGCTTCAACATTTAACCATGATGGCGACGTCCATTTATCATCATTTCCACTTCTGAATCAAACCTCAATGTAAACCTTGGTTTTCACACTCACTGAGCACAAATTCCTCATTACAGAAGCCTGTGGGAATATCCAACACTGCCCTGTGTCACCAACATTTGAGCTTCTGCTTTTTCAGTTACTTGGAAGGCATTTGCTTTTACTTGATGATTGTATTGAAGTATATGAACAGAAACTGGTGATCACATGCATACCTGTTTGTGTAGCCAGCCTCTTACTATAACAGGAACATTGGGATTCCTCCTGATAGCTTGTTCCCTCTTTCCAAAGCTATGCACTTTGCTTCCAGTCTTCACAATCTGTAAAGAAGTACAATGTAGCAGTCGTTTTTAAACTGTACTGAGACTCATTTCATATTACAAATAATCTCACTGCAATAACTCATACTTCATTAAACACTAGGAAAGTATTCATAGCATTTTCAAGGGCAAGTAAACAGGTAATGATATTTACAACACGGCAAAGTCAATCTTCCACTTTCATCAACATATTAGTGCCAGGATGGTCTGCCAAGTCCGAGCTGAACAGCAGCAGCACTGATGTGTCAAGTCAAAAAGGCAGAACTATGGAACTTTTAGTGTGCCTGGGAAGTATTTTTGAAAGCTCCATGCAAATCTGTCTCTGGTAGCTGGGTGTCAATGCAGTACAAGTCTCTGACACGCACAGGACTTTGAGCAGATGAATCCTACTCTTGCTCTTCTTTGTTTGGGTTTTTTGTGTTACTTTTTTGGTTGATTTTATTTTTCTTTCCTGTTTAAATTCAAACAACATTGATAGCTTAATAAAATGCTTGGGCTTTGACCCTGCAAACAGAAGGAGAAGACAGAGTGACGCTCAGGAAGGGAAGAGACCTAGACAGCAGTAAATGGAAATCACGAGAATTGAGTAATGATTTGTTTGTTACCAAAACCTCAGTTTTGACTGACATGGGCAAAACTATTTCAAAAACAAACATAGAAAGCCCATCCATCTGTGAAAAAGCAGGAATCTCTGGATGAATAATTTGCCTGTTCTTTTCCAACCTCAGCACAGTTTGCTCCTCCAATGGCTTTAGGAACCTGAGATGCACACACCACCCTTAGAGTTGTGCCTGGCCCCTCCAAGAAAAGAACTGTCCAAATTCCTTCCTACAGTGTCTCACTTTTTAATCTCTTATCTCAGCTCAACAGGGTACAGATGTTCTGTGAGCTGCAGACAAACAACAGCTCTGGAAACAAGTACATTTGTCATGCACAAGGGATAACATCAGAAAAATATCTCATAATACTGCTCCTGCCAGTCAAGCAACACTTGGACTAGAAGACAGCATACATAATAATAAATTATTCTAGCAATATATGATAACTTTAAACGGATTCTATTCATTTTGAGGCCAAGCTTTACCAACCTGCAGTATATTTCCTATCTTTATGAAGAGTTAAGATAATAGCTACAAACAGTAAGAAAAACAATTACTCCTTGGTACTATAGCATATAAAACAGAGCCACACATGTTAACACTTGTAAGGAGCTGTCAAAGGGCAGATTTTCTTAGGTACTTTCCCCGAGGTGTGCTCCCCAGGAAGCAGAATGCTGCTTCCAGCTCTGCTGAGGAGTCAGATGAGATGCATGTCATGGTCATTTTGGTGAAACGCCCTGACATTTTGGTGACAGGAAGTATGGGCTTTTCCCTAGGAGTGACACCTCACCAGATAACCTTGGTGAGAGCCTGCACAGGACTCAGCTGTGCCCCAGAGCACAGGTTATCACCTGAGCAGACAGCTCTCTAGGGCTAGCACAAACCCAGAGGCCAGGGTTTCTAAGCAGGTGCTCCTGACACCCAGATGCCAAGAACCAGCTCACAGTAAAAGTCAGGTGAGGATGGTACTGCCGAGGTCTCTCAGCCCGTTTCTCTGCCATACCTGTGCTAACACACTCAACTAACAGGCTGCTGAGCACCTGCTTTGGGCAAACACAGCGTGTTGACTTGGACCACAAAAATATTTCTGGGTACTCACGTACAGACGCGAAAGGAAGGAAGAAGTAAGATGTTAGGGATTTTGTGTTTGCTACCGAAAATATTTCAAAAGATAACTTGCAAACCTGTGTCCAAATACCACTTTAAACAAACACACAAGGGTGTATCACGAGGTCAGTCAAGCTCTGGATGATCATACCATGGCCAATCTATATATGGGTATTTTTTAAGAAAAATGAGAAGTAAACATTTCAGTGGAGTTTTAAAAAATTGTTGCCAAAAGCTAAGATGCAACAACTACAAGGGCGATAAAAATAATGAGGTCCAAATTGTTTAAAGTTCTGAAAGTGAAAAATTCACACTGTGCACCTGAACAGAAATCAATTTACAAAACATACAGAATTTAGTTTCCAAATTTTTCTTTCTCATAGTCCTCCTTGGAAGGTTGGATGAACTGAGGAACAGTAAAGTTGATCCTGCTGATCTAGCCTTACAGCAGCATTTAAATTTGATTTTTTTCATCAGATCCCTTGTCAGTGAGCAAGCACGTTGGTAGTCTCTGATCTTACTTAATTTAAAAAACATGCAGACCATAACGTAGAAAAGTCATCCTTGGACTTGGTCAAAAGACCAAACAATTTCTATTGCATCAATAAGATACCCATAATGGAAACAAAATTATCATTTTATGGTGCTTTATATAATTAAAATTCTCATATCATCTTCAGTATTAATCATCTCATTCTGCTCTAGAATAAAACAAAGCATAACAGACACTGCATGTCACACCTTGCTTCCACTGGCTAGACTAAAGAGTTAGTTTAAAAGAAAAGGTATATATTTTAAACTACTAGTCTGTATTGCAGAAGCCTTTTCCTAACTTAAATTATTCTGATATCATTGTCATGTGTTGAAAAATGCAGGTCAACACAGCTGTCTGTGTCACTGAAAACACAGGAGTCACTTTTGACTTCAGTACATTTGTCATGCTGACTTTGTGAGTAGCACTTAAGTTTTTGTGGGGGGAAAAAAAAAAAGTCAAAGAGCCAAAGTTTCCAAATCCCTTTTCAGCACCACCTCATCTTCCTTACAGTAGCTTCCAGCTGAGAAGAAAAGTTGCTAAATTAATTGCAAAATATTATATTTTCTTTTTTTTTTTTAAACTGGACAGCCAAAAAGAAAATGTAGACAGACTTTTATTTGGAACAGATTTTCTAAACAGTAAAAATGAAGACTGCATCTTGGTCAAAGTATGCAAATATATATATATAAGAGAACATATAATTTTCAATCTGGGGAGACTTAAAAAAAAAATGTAAAAAACCCCCAACCCACAAAGCCTCACCTGTTTAAGTCAAACTTTTTCATTCAAAAAGTCTCAGCGTTTCACTTAGAAATGAACTTATGAATTCTTTTGGTATCTCCAAGAAAACGATAAAAAATCCTTATTTTTCAGATAGGAAAAACCAAAGCCCTAAGAAAATCGCACTCTTAATTTTGAGCATTCATATACAGTGGCCGTGAATTAAACATTGTGTTTTACACTCCAGCCCAGCCCCAGACAGTCCCACAGAGTTGGCACCATCACATACCTGTCACCACTGCCTGTTCCTCCCAACTGTTAGGCTCATTCTTTACTTGTTGTATTCCTCACCAGTTTATCTTGGAAAAATACCAGCAACTATTGGTGTCATCAACAATTCAATTACTTCTCTCATGCAAAATCCATCCAAAACATGCTCTCAAAATGTAGGTAGTAATAGATACATTACACTACTCTTCTTTACGTTCTTAACTTGTCCCAAGTCCTGTGTGGCACACTAACATTTACACTGTACAACTGACACTGTTGGAAAGAAATTGTGAAATTCTTTTTCCAAAGAATCAATTCAAGTTCAGACCTGAGCACTGCAATGAGCAAGCCAGAAGTTTTCCTTTGATCTTGAACTGAAAATGACAAATCTGCTGTACATTTGGCAGCTTATCTTCCCCCCCTCCACCCCAAATGTGGCAACTCTTAGCTGCCAACTTTCTACAGAAGAATCAAGTGGAAAGCCATGTACCTGTTCCTGCACTTTCTGATTTGGTATTACTTCAGTGTGCTCTGTCTAAAAAAAAACGAGTTTGAATTTGGCCAGGATTCCAACATTATGCATACACCATTCTGTGATGGCATTTGTAGGACAAAATTATGAAAGGATTTCATAAAAGATAATAATTAGCCATGGGTAGGTAGAGACCTGTAACATGAACATGTCTCTTGCTTCATGATTGTGCCTCAATTCTGCAACTGGGAACTCACTCTTTGAAAGAGTGATTATGGAAGTCATGGAAAAACACACTTAGAAAGAGATAAAAGGACCTTAAAATCTACTCTCAACATGCCAAAAGTCAACCTCAAACAGGTTATTCATTTTATAGCCTTTGTTCTCATTGTTAGTTCATCTGAATTAATTTTTGTGTTAGGCTGTGAAGGAATTCAATAGACCTTCTGACTACAGAATGAGAGAAGTGATGTCAAGCCTGGAAACACATGCAATAATGAAAAAACATACAGAAGAAACATGTTGGTTCTCTGTCTTAATTAATCCAGTATTTATTAAGGGCCAGCAGCAGGACAGATCTTATAAAAACAACCTTGGTGGAGAAGCAAAGTACAGGCAAGCTCTCTGCAAAAGTTCTATTCTAAGTCTAAAGCTGCCATGTATTAAAAAAATGCCCCACCTGGGAGCCTGCCAGAAGCATGTGTGGCCACACTTATACAGGACAGCAAACAGAACAGAAGCGGAGACCAAAAACAGACAAACTGAAGTTTTGGGAGGAGATTCTGGATATTCTCCAACCTGTGATAAAAAAGCATTACCCTCACCTTTAGCTGTGCAATTCTGACATCCCCAGTGATTCAGTCTCTAGCACGTGAATGGCCCTGTAAGTTGTACCCAGTCACCATTTTTGATCTCTGATTAGATCAGTGCAAGCATGTGACAAAGGGAAACAGCAGCAGCAGGTGACAGAGGATGCACACTTCCTGGCACAAGTGCAATCCTGGGCATGTTAAAGCCAACTGTGTCACTGGAGAATTGCCCTGCTCAAAGTAGAGTATCAGGTCTCCAGTAAGCCTGCTGGTTTTAGGAGTGAAAAAATGAACCTTCTGCCTCTAATGCTTCTAAGGCTCAAAAAAAATCAGAGTAAGGAGGATAAATAAAGTAAACACCAATGCTGACATACTTTGGTAAAGTCATACGTTAAAAGATGAAAAAGAAACGTATCAAATAATTCAGGCAACCTATCAGGCCTACTGTTTTCAGTGATAACTTCATCTAGCACTTTAAAGATAAATGTATTCTTGAGATTTGACACACAACAGCCTTTTGTGTTGGTGCAGTGACTTAAACACTTTGGATCTAAAAAAAATTTTTTTTTAAATTGTTTTTTAGCTTTTCATGAAATTCTTTACATCTTCTCCAATATTCACCCAAGCACATCAAAACATCAGAAAAATATTTCATATATTCAACAGAAATTGCAAAAAATTCAGCAAAGTCCTTTCTTCAACTCCATTATATAAGAGGCTGCTCACTTCTGCATCTAAAAAACCTGAGAAGTTTAAGAACTGAAGGTAAAGTTAAGAAATCTATCTTATCTCTGCTAATTCTTCCAGCACTGCTTTTTTTCTTTTTTATCCACCAACTACCATTCTCACTACTATAATTTACTGTAAGGTCAAAGAAGCATTAAGATAGCTGGTGACACTTCAAGTACAGCATTTTATTATATTTTGTGCAATAATAAACACAGCCCTTTGTCAATGACAAAGAATGTTATTAAACATTTTCTTCTTCTATTAAACATTATGAGTGTAAGCTTAGTGCCTTCACTGTTTTTGAATTGCAGTGATGGCAGAGAGGATTTAAGTTGTTACTAAGAGGAGGAACAGCAGTAAGGTCTCATGGAAAATTTATATATATATACAAATTATAATTCTTGGTAGTCTGCAGCACTTCTTGCCATATATACTGGACTATGAAAAAACTTGGAGAAATACTAGTATGATATATAATTACTTCGATTCATAAGAAGACTCTCAAATTTCCCATGTCACAATAATCCCCATTTTTCAAATTATATTGAACAACATTATCTGGGTATACAAGTGCTTCTAAAAGTGCTGTAACACTGCTGTTACAGCTGCACACAGTGCTGCAAAAAGATTTTTGCTTGGGTAGAAAACACTACTTCTACTTTGAGATCCTACTAGACTTCTAGGCTAAACCCATGGTCATATTAAAACCAGCATTAAAAGAGTATTGGATTTAAAGTGAGTAAAATTCTAGTTAACAAGCTGAAACAATAGCTTTTTCCTTTACCTTAGAGCCAGGTTTTGTATCAACAGCAGATGTAGTTACTGCAGTGGACGTTTCACTGACCATGCTTGAAGGTCTTTGGTTTATTTGTTGCTTGGACATAGATGAATTCTGTCTAGAAAATAAACAAAACCAGATAATCTAAACCACATGGTTTCAAACAGTCAGCTTTGCCTTTTCATATTTAAGATTCACAGTGTGCAAATGAACGACAAGCTAGTCAAATATTTCCCATAAACCTGCAACTTCCTTTGCACCACTCCTGTTATTTTCATTTCAGGTCTTTCTCAAGCAGATGCTGCCAGTGACATCTGATGATTGGTATTTGTCTGTGTATCAGGAGCGAAAAAAAAGCTGCCAAAGAGAATCAAGACATAACAAAGAGCACTCAGAGAAGATAGGGCTAATGCAGAGAAACTAAACTGTGCCCAATTTAGAGACTTGGCTGCAAACATGTGAAAGAGCAAATATTGGGGAGGGAAAGACAGGAATCAGCACTTTGCAATAACAGACTTCTTATTTAAAATCAAAGTGAGACCAGTCTACTGTTAGATCTTTCACTAACTTAATGTTAGATCTTTGCATCTGCCCAAAATATGATTCATACCATAATATGAATTATTAAAACACTCTTTTAGTGAAATGATGCAATTCATGGCAGATATTGTTAGAAATATGTAACTTCTGAGTCATACTAAGATTCCAGAAATCCTGATAACTAGCTCAGATACCCGTTTAAAGCACAGGTGAGGTCAATCCCACCAGAAGAACCCGTTCAACAAGTAAGAATTCAGTACAGCTGCCCAGATGAAGAAATAAGAGGATAAATGTAGGGGCAAAATCTTGTTGAATCGCATATGCAAGTTGTGAAGAGAAGCCCCAGCAGCCAAGCTTGACACCAACCTGTGAATTAAAACCATAGGTGGCATTTTCAAAAATCATTAATGACATAATTTAGCAAATTGTATTTTAGGAATAAGTAGCAATACGGTCACATCAGAAAACAAAATAAAACAAACAATAAACAACCCATGATTTTCCTTTTTCCATCTCAGTAAGTCAGCAAAGCCAGTTATTAAAAACAAAAAAAACCAAAAAATATGACATACAAGCCACACCAAATATGGCTGGTGCTAGCACTTAAATTCATTCCAGTTCTGAACACAACAGAAAACAGAGTAACTCTGAGCAGTTAACACTCATGAGAACAGAGAAGAATAGTTTGTGACTGTAGCAGCTCAACACAAGATTTATCTACATCAAGGCATTTGCCATCACTGCTCTTCCTCAGTTACAATCTCAACAATTACCAGTTCAAAGGCTTTTATAGGTGATTTGGTGTCAGGGAAAGCACATTTTTCCATTTGTTACCACAGAGTTTCAATTAAGCTTGCAAGCAAGTAACACAACCTTGGTCCCATTTTCTTTATGCCTTGCTTATTTGGCTTAAGTCCTTTCTTGCTAGACTTTACACATAAGCTCAGGTCCAAGATATGAGAACAAACTACAGCAAGACCAGGCCAAAATTCCTGGCCATCCTTTAAAGCACGAGAGCTTCATCATATCATTTGAGTCAGTTTGCCTTACCTCTTATGGACCAGGTATCCTACTTCAACTGGAATATACAGTTAAAAGATTAAGACACTTCCCATATATGAAACTGCCTGACTAAGCTATTTCTGTCTTGCTCCCTTCCCACTTTATAAACTTTCAAAATAGGTAGAAAATACAGATGTACAATGTGCCTGCATCTTACTTGCCTTCTCCTAATATCTACTTACCAAAATAGTTCCATTTCCCTGCTCAAGGCAACTAAACCAAGAGTAGGAACTTCAGTTTGGGAGGAACACTAACAGGGGTGTGAGAATCATCTACACTGCTTCCTCAAAATGGAAAATATTAGATTTTATATCATTAAGAAAGCCACTAGAAATGAGTCACAAAAGCATGAAACCAAAACACATCCAAGAAAAATGTCTGGCTTCAGAAGACAAGAGATCTCCCTTCTTGCCTTGAGGTTTAGATTCTCTACAAGGTCCCCACCACAAACATTGAGCGTTACACTGTAGGACAGTCACACCTTATTATCCAGGTACTTACTGGGTTGAGGAGGGAGGAAAGGAGGAGGTGGAAAGAGCACATAACATACATGTTCAGAAAATCTTTTGCCTTTCCAGACTTTAGATAATACGATTGGATTACGTTGCTTTCTTCTAATAGAGTAGCTATTTCAGAGAGCTACCTTTCTCAGAAGAGAGAAAAATAAAAAATCAAATTTAAGTTTTGACAAATTGGAATTAATTTTTCCAATAAAAAAATTAATAAAAAAAAGATGAATAATCCCAGAGGAATGGTTTTAATTTAAAATTCAACTCTGATTGAACTGATTTTCACTATTCCTCTAGATAATGTTCACAGTTGGTTAAAAATACTTCACTTAAAAAAAAAAAGAAAAGTAAAAGAACTAGAGAGGAAGATAAGCTTTATATGTTTAACAAGACCATCACTATCAGAAAACCATAATGCAATGATGAATGTGTAATTTCTAAGCATTTATTATGTGGTCATATAGTGATTTCTCTTCCATTTGCTACTGGAAGTGATCACTGCCAATATATCGAGCTTTCCTTTTCTAGTAGTACCAAATTAATGATGAACTTCAAATTCACAAGCAGAAAAATGCTTTTTAAAAAATGTGAGGTTGTTGCCATGGAAGAATTCAAATAGCCAGCAAAAGAGACATTTAATCCATTGAAAGAGAAAATACAATATTATTCTCCTAAAAATGAAAAGTCTTTGTCAGCAAATACTGGTTATCTAAACTTGCTGTATCTGACACATAACAGAAAACACCAAACAATATTGAAAATTAACTTCAGTATTTGTATATATTTCAAGGATACAATAGATTTGTTGCATGAAATCAGAACATAACAAAACTCAGGTATTCAAGTCTCTTAACAGCTAATTAATATTCTCAGTCTGTTTTTAAATCAAATAAAAATAGGCAGAATATGAAGAATTACATGAAACATCCTGGCATGTTAATGGAGTTAATGCTGTCCTAACAGTATTTACAGATTCAACTTTAAAAATAAGTGACTACAGCACTAACGGTGCATTCAGAAGCATTAGTTCAATATCACTATTACCAAAGATGTCTGATAATATCTGTTATCCAAGATACCACATTCTGTCTTCATAGTGATGGGTTTTGACTATTTTCAGGCTAGTTTTCTTTGTGCCTCCCCCAAGTGTGTGCATACACATACAGAATTGCAGTATGTACATTTGGAGCCCCAGTACTGTGTAAATTTTTTTTAAGTACTTGAAAATAACACTCTATATAGTAGCTCCTGTCAAGCAGCTCTCTGCACTACTTATGCAGTGCTAGTATATCTACAGAAATAACATTTACCAGCTAAAAGAGTTATATAGCCAATATTCGAGTTATTAAAACCAACACTGAACAATAAAAAAAACAACTACACCAGTAGCCCATATTGAAAATGCAATACTCATGAGAGAACACATTCCTTTGCTCTAATAGACCATAAAGATCGGTCAACTTGGAAGATCGACATTCACAACTGCAACTTAAAAACTTAATTTTGTTGGATCATACATGATGCAATTACATTGTGTCAATCTGGTTTTACTACCCATAAATCTCCTAATCAGCTAGAAAAAAAAAACAACTGTCCTAGTATTTCTATATATGTAAACATGGCAGATATTTCTGAGTTGTTTGGGTTTCCTCTTTTCTCTCCACCTGATATTTTTGCTGCTATAGTAACCAAACGCAATAAATGAAATAAGATGGCTCTCTACCCAGAGGTAATACAAAGGTTTCATCAGTCACACGAAAACAGGCAAGAAAGAAAATAACATTCACTGGATTAAGCACTCTGTATTTTTCCCCCCTATATGTCTACATTGATGTTCAGGTCTAATCTTTTCTAAAGGATAAAGTACTATCTTCTCATTCGCAAACACACTACTATGGCAAATACATCATACAGATCCTAATACACAACTACTAGTGTTTAACACAGATAAAATTAGGTATGTGGGTGCATATGCCTTATTCTTCCTTTCTGTATACAATTACTTAAAGAATTGTTATTTAAAGAAAGATAAGAGAGGAGAAATCTAAACAGTACATACATCTATCCTAAGAAATTCTATCAAAGGTTTTTCAGAGAAACACATATGTAACAATGTGGTAAAATAAACCTAACACCTGTCTGGCAGCCTTATCATTAATTCTCAGTTTCCCACTGGTTGTTTAAGAAAGGTCCCTTTGTGGATTAAGGGTTCATTAAAAACATGAAAGTACAGCACAGAAATCAAGAGGCAGTTGTGAAATGGAGGGAGTCTACCAGAGAGGCTTCCCATACAGCAAGATGCTCAGTTTATTTAGAGGTGATCCTAAAAACCAAGTCAATAGAGAACAAAAATTATTCTGGATAAAAACTGAAATGCTGGCAGGAACAGATAAAAAATTAATCTTCAGATATGAGTAACCAAATGATAAGGTGCCAAACTGAATTCAGTGTCAACAACAGAAAAGTAATTCAAAAGAGGAAGAAATGAAAAACATCTCTGCAGCTTTTATCACTCAAAACAACACTGGCAAGGAAAGGATATTTTTAAATCTAAGCACAAGGAGTAGCAGCAGCCAAAGTATGTTAAGAATTATTAGTAAAGGCATAGAGAAGGCAAAGTACAATTAAATTATTATAACAAACAATGAGCTCATGTGCTGAATACTGCATTCACCTATAATCAATCACTCCATCAGAAAAAAAATAAATCTGAAAGTGACATACAGAAAAGCTGGCTCTCAAGCAGAGTTAGTGAAAGCTACTGAACACACATCCCACACACAAAGTGACCAAATCTGCTAAGCTTGGAAAAACAAAATAAGAGGTAGGGATTTCACAGTGGTCCCAGCTAAGAATGTGTTAGGAAATAAGGAATCACTGTTTTAAAAAAAAAATCTAAATAAGAACACCTTTAGGAAGAAGGAATAGTATAAGGATCAAAGATAATATAATTAAAAAATCACAGGTTCCAGTCACAATGGAGTTGAGGAAACCAGATTTCAGCTTAAAAAAGCAAAACTGATGTGATATTGTTTAAATGCCTTGGGAAAAGACTAGTGAAATACAGTCTCAGTCTTCTACTGAAAGTACCCAGTTCTCATTTGATCAAGTGAAGCAAGGGCATGTGGTTCACAACTGAGTCACCATCAAGCTAGAATTACATCATTTATTGACGTCATTCTCCAAAACTTGTTTTCAAATCTTCTCGCCAGAACACTGCTTCCAGGATGAGGAATGGCCAGAGCAGTCCCTACATTCATCATTTCTAGATGACTGTAAATTACTTTTCTGATGTTAAATGTGTCCTTTTAAATGGATATGTTTGCTGCAGCCTGAACAAGTTGGTGCTTCCTTCTCCCCACTAGCTTCCAGTCAATATCTGGTTACAACTCCTGCCTTTGGCCCTAATCTTAAATTAAAATCAACCCATCAGTAATAAATCATGTCACAACCACACTGAAGAACAAGTAAGAGTGCTACTACTTCAGACAGGATTCTTCAGCTATAGGAAAAAGTATTCGTGGTCAAAGGATCTCACAATGGAAAGTTTCCACAGGCCATGCCAATCCAGAGACTTCCTTTCTGACCAAGTCCTGCTTGTGGAAGTCATTTCATCACATGATATGATCTACTACACTGATTCCAAACTAATACATGATCAACAACACTGATTGTAAGAAATCCCTGATGCCTGAGGGAAAAGAATGAAAATGTGGCATAGTTCCATTACAATTCCTGAAGACAGGGAGGTGCTAGCAGCTACTTTGATTTCAGCAGAGACATCCACAGGTGTCAGGCAGCGTCACTTGACAGGAACTCAGATATGATCGTGATGAACAGCATCTGTGTTAAACCCCTATTGTTGCATAAAAGTGGTATGAAACTGAGGAAACCAGAGCATCCCACACATTTGAAAAAGACATTTTTAAAGCAATTTTAACTTGACAGATTAAAAACGTCTACTTTCAAAAACACTGTATGTACTTTAAGTCAATAATAAAGCTTAGAAAAATGTTTTTGCACAGACTGTTTCCACTACAAACACATCCCTCCAGCCATTCCCTCTTCTTTTAAAATAAAAACCACCTCTCTCCATCAATTCCTACTATGGTGTAAGATTTTTCCTGGTTTTGATATCATCTCAGTCTGAGTAACTGAAGTCTACAGATGCTCATTCATCTGATTGCCCTCCAAATAAGCACTTTCATTTCTCTTCCAAAAAATTTGCTAACAGACATTAAAGATTACTAAAATCATGTGCCACCATCAAGCAGTTCTTTCAATTCTGCTTTTAATATTTTATCTGCTACCATGATTACAAAACCAAAAACAGCCTAGGGAAGTATGACTAACCCAAGCAGGCACTCCAAGGAGTTGTATCCAAACAACTATTTTCCAGTACACATCTAAAAATTTATATTAAACTTGACTGAAACTTTAAAACAGATGAATTAAAAATCAATCAGTGGATAGAAGTTGGAACACCGATACACAATGGTTACTGTCCATAACGTCTTTCAGATTTACTCCACTGCAATGTACCTGTTCACCTCACTAAATGAGCTGGAGCAGTTTGTTTGCATAACTGGAACGAGACAAACCCCTTTGAGCAACAAGTCACCTGCATGCCACTGAACAGTTGGGGTGACCTCCAGCTCAGTAGTCATCCCACAGCCTTCATACTTAATCACAGGCCTCTCCCACAATGTTTTATTTCATGCTAGTTCTCAGCAGGCACATTAATGTAGAATTGGCTGTTAGCTTTGGTTTGGATTTGGGGGAGGGCAGCTGTTAAGTTGGAGGGTTTTGTTGGGGTTTTGTTGCTAATGTTGTTTTTATTTGGTTGGTTTGTTTTTTAAACTGTTTGAGAGCTCCTTCTCAGGGCTACATCAGAACCTCTGAGCTTTACAGTCATGCTCTACCTTCTTCCTCTCCAAGTCCACAGCAGAAGATTTTGCCAGAAAGGACTCAGTCTCCTAGGAGTCTTGCATGGCCCTTCTCTGTGTCTCATTTTTCTTAATAACTACTTTGAATTGAATTTAAAGCAAACTAAATATCAGAGAGTTTGAAATGCAAAGTGTTCAGAATCATCTGGGCAGCCACACAAACCCCCACATCACGGCCATTACAGCATGATGATCAGCCTCTGTCATAAATGAGGGGCTAGAGGCTGCTTAAACAGTGTTGGAAAAGGAAAAGCAACTGGTGTTGTCCCATTCTTGTTGCCTTTGGAGTGGTTTTAGAAGTGATGTAGAACCTTCTCCTAGACTCTGTGTCTTCTGCCTAGGGAAGACACCATTACAGTTGTTCCATTACAAGAGGGATTCCAGGAGCAATCCAGTGTACAGCAAGGATGACAGCAGTAGTTAAACCCTACAATGAAGCAGGGCATGATCCAATCCAAGACCAAAGACATGCCCAAATTCACCAGTTTGAACATACGCATATTTCTTCCTTTTTCTTTTTCTTTTTTTTTTTCAAATCAGACAATCAAGATAAAATATGCTGGAAACTAATACATTCTACACCATTTCTCCAGAATAAAGAAGAATGTCTAATCAATGTAGAACATCTTAAACATAAGATAATCAAGGAAGTACAACGGAAACTAGTAATATTTTGTGTATTTCAATTTCAGTATAAACCTTCCAGCTTGCTCTAAAAACATTTTTCATTTATGTTCTGTATATCTGATATTCATACAAGGCTAAAGCATCACTGTTCAAATATCCTATATATATTGCCTTTTTTGTTGGTTTATTTTGGGGTTTGTTTGGGTTTTTTAAAAGATCTGATAAAGATTATCTCTCAAGCCCTAGCATGGAACACTGCTGGAATCAAAAACATACTATCACAATGAGAAGTAAAATTTTAAGCATAAATCTCAATGACATTTTTGCTACAATATCAAAAGAACTGTTAACAATCTAAAGTACTAATCTACTGTAGGTTAATGTGCTACTGTTTTAGACCTCTTGACATGGGTATAAAACTACTTACTCTTCTCGCAAAATAAATTCAATATTTTCTGGAGAGACCTGTCCTGTCACAGGATGTCTAAATGATGTGGTCTGCTGATTATGGCTGAAAAGAAAAAAAAAAGAAAAAAGAAAAAAGGAAATTAATATTGCTAAACTCGGTAAAATATGATCTCTAAAAGGCAGAACTATTTATATTGATGCTTTACAGCTCTATTCCAGAAATGAAACATATTTCTGAGGTACTTTTCAAGTCTGAAATGTTTTCAGCTCCTTCCTGTGTTCTTGTTGACTTTGCCAGTGGTACACTGTACCATTTAATTATTAAACAAGTTAATGTTTTAAAACTAAACTAGTTACAATCCTTAGTTAGAGAGATACACTTGAATTTATGACCATTTAAACCTGACTATTACCAGATAATTTAAATATAACACGTAACATAATGTATTGAATTATGTTGCTGTAACTTTCACAGAACAGAACCACTAAAATAACTTGAAATGCTGCTAGACAACATTTTACACATTTTGTATTATTTAATCAGATCACAGAGACATTATGTGGAAGCCATTTCTTGCTTTTTTTTTTCTTCTAGTATGGCATTTCTTCGATGATTTTTCTTCACACCTTCATGCAGCCATTCAGCTGTATGGTCTGTATAAAACAACATAATTTAGTATTTTATCTCAGTTGAATTAAAGTCAGGAATTTCTATCAACTTTCCCCTCACAGCACTATCTAGATGTTTTGCTACCCCCTGTGAAATATTGCTACTCATTAAAGATAAATATTTTACCTATCTGTGTAACTGCACTCATGTAATGCAAAAATATGGAGTGAAGAAAGCTTATTTCAGTTTAAACTGGTAGTCTTCCCTCCTCCCCAAAATCAATTATTTCAGTTAATTGTACAGAAAACACAAGACAATTTCTGTAGAGTCTTATACGTAGTGAGCCCTTTATTCTTCTGTCCAAAAGAATGACTCTATAAAAATCACATATTTTAAAGAAATAAGAAATTAAAGATCTTACTTTAGAATTAGAAAGGTCATGGCTGACATGCTCTTAGCCTTAGAATTAGAGAGAGTAGTAAACGAAGTGCTCACTTATTCAAGGTTCTGAATTTTTCTGGGTTTATTAACAATTTTTAGATAAACATCCAAACTAGAATTCCCACCAAGTGCAGCAAAACAGTAACACCCTGTGAGTATATTCAGAAAACAAAAATTAAAAGGCGTTCAAAAGGATTATATTTCAAAGAGCCAAAAATGAAAACTTGACCAATTTTTTTGCTTAAAGATTTGGAGTTTTTCCTTTCATAATACCCAGCAGTTTCATGTCTTACAGTTTTGACCCTGTTGTCTAGCACAGCAGGACGTCCCCCCAAAACCAGAATAAGGCATAAAGAAATATTTTGATGTTTCAGAGTAATGAAATTCCCAAGAGATAACACTCTTTCTGATGAGTAAAGGACAGCTAAAAATCAATCAGCTCATGCAGCCATGAGTAAATAGCTCAAGACATGCCTTGATTTAAAAAACAAACCAAAACCAAGCAAACCAAAACCAACCAACCAACTAAATAACCAAAAAAACCCCAACAGCAACAAAAATCCCACAAATTGTTCATGCTAAGTCCCACTTGGGCCACAAACAGCAGAGGATGTTTGGTGTGCCATCAACTTCTCATCCTTTTTCCAATGTGCTTTGCTACAGGAAGTCAGATATAAGGAACTCATATAACAACATTTCCAATGATAAGCTGAGAGCTGTAACAACTTATGTAACACCAAAAGGACTTTTTCCAGCCCCACCTCTTACAAAAATTCTCACCCTAAAGCCATTGGAAACTGTCAACAAGATATTTGGCCATCAACTACTCTGCGGCACCAGCGACAGCATTTGCTCCCTAGGCTGGTGAGAACTGACCTCTCCTACAGCTGTGGGTTAATAAAGGACCTTTGCAGTTTCTAACTCTTCAGCTTTTCCCATGAAATCAGAGATCCAGAGAAAGTGTCTCAGGTAAGCACACAGTGCTAACATCAACAAAGCAGCCAGGATCCTCTTCCTCACAAAAAGACTGAGGAGTATGGTTTATTTCTAAAGAAGCGTTTTAATGTGAGTTTATATTTTAATTTTGGGTCTACATCCGAAGAGAGGGACAGGAACTTGCAGATGTTCTCAAAGAAAATAATAAAGAAATTCTAACACTAACAATTAGCTCCATGTTTCTCACACAGTCCAGTTTTATGTTGAAAGTGTTTCCTCTCAAATCAGGCCTGAAGCAGTCTGTTTAACCTTTGATGCTTAGGTTAGGACTGCTAAGAAAAAGGCAGATACCTTGTTAGCTTAGAAAAATCAAAGTACCTTGCCAGCTGTATTCTCCAGGGGCAGCCAAACTGTCAACAAGCTCTCCTCTGCAGGCTTTTAGTCATTAATAACTCACTCTATAATTAAGACTAAGAAAAAGGACTGTATTCCAGAAATGCTCTAGGGTTGTTTAGGAAGTATACCATACTAGCACGTACACAAATGTTTTTTTATTTCCCAGGAAATAAATTCATCAGGTCTTCTGAAGATGAATTAGTCCACTTGTTGCAATTCAAGAGGAAGTACATTACTAATAGGCTAAATATTGCTTACTAATAATAAGTGTTTGCTGCAAATTAAACACTTCTTAAATATCTGAGCAAACGCACTTTGGGACAAGTTTTGCATGTCAAATACTAAGAGCAGAGAAACAGAGAGATGGCTCTGTTACTGCACGAAATGCAGATGGTAATTTCACACAGAAGGAGAAGGAATATAAAAGCAAAGCTTCCCGCATATCTGCAGCTTCAGTAAGTAGGACTTGACCGGGAAGAGAGAAGTGAACCCCCTGCCACTAACAATTAGTTTTGCAGAACACAGTGGTTTATTTGAATTTGAAAAGTGAGCGTTTAAGTGTTTTGCCTCACAGGACTCATTAAGAATAAGCGATACTATTCAAAACAACCTATACAACAGATGGCTAATGCCTTGCAACAAGGAATTAGATAGCAGGGAGATTTTTGTTCACAATGAGAGCAGTCAAACATTGGAAGAGGTTGCCTAGCAAAGCTGTGGAATCTCCATCCTTGGAAACATCCGAAATGCGGCCGGATAAGGCTCTGAGCAACCAAATCAAACTTTATGAGCTGGTTCCAGCTTTGAAGCTGGCCTGGCTCTGAACAAGATGGGTTAGATCTAATGGTGTACAGGGGCTCCTTCCAATAAAAATTCTGTTCTATCATTCTATACACCTCCATCTTTCTCTAAAAATATAATTTAATTCTTCCAATACCTCTAAAGCTTTCCCAGTTTTTAAACAGATTTATTCCAAAACTATTAGCAGTACCTATTTCTTAGAACAAGAGAAATTGAATCATTAGGTCTTTAGATTACAATTTTTTGTTGTTGCTTTCATGTCTTTTAAATATTTTCTTAACAGGGATATCTGTTTAAACAACATTGATAACAACAGTTTCGCTAGTGAGTGATCTAGTAAACCTGTTGCAGTGCAAGTTTTCCTTTCCTTCCAAGCACAGACTAAGAAAAGACCTGACACAGCTGTTCTCCAGACACATCAGCTAACCAAGCCTCACAGTAGTTAATCACCTGTATTTCCTCCAAATAGCAACTGCTGAATATGTTCCTATTGTCCAGAAATCTATCATGTATAACAGGCACAATAAATGTGCCTTGATAAAAGGACACGATATGCTGCTCCACTCTTCATGCCCCTCTTATTCTGTTTTTTTCACTAGAGAAAGACTTAATAGCCCTCAACAAAAACGGGAAAGGCTTATGATTCTTCACTGTGTGAATTCTGAATGCTTTGAAATTTGTATTAGTACACCACCACACATTTGAAATGCCAAGATAACTTTTCTAGCAATGTTACAAATTTTCTGTGTGAGAAAATACAGCATTTTTTCCTAGCAACCTAATTCTAACAGTTTTGTATTATTCTGATTTTGTACAAATACTGATCAACAGAGTCACCAAACCAAAGCAAGTATAAAAACATGAAAAATCCACACAAAAATGACATTCATTAGCATCTACCACTACCAGCATTATTAAATTACACTACAGACTGTTAGAAGTAATTCTGAACTTCAAAGTTACAGAACACCATTTTCCAAGGATTGCTGTTGGTTTGTAACAGTTAAGACTCACACCCTTCATAATGGAATCAGAGTTTAAACACGTTTCTTTTTAATTAGATACCTCAACACAAATTCTATTATTTCACAGCATGTGTACACAACATTTACCAGTGTAAGAACTGACAGTCGCCCACTGTCTTAAGACAGATTTACTAAAGCAGTTTAGAAAGACTCAAGACCTTCAAGATGTAAACAAAATGAATACACCTGGCTAACCTGAGCCCCACGTGAAGTCATGCTGCTTGAGCAGCTAATGTCACTTCTAAGCTGGCTCTGGGTTCAGGTGTGGGGGTGGAACCAGACAACAGATAACCTTAAAAACGGGAAGTTGTTACGCTCCTGCTGGCTGGGTGGGAGTGCAGACAGACAGACATGTCTATCCTTAGATAGCACCTTACTGCTCACCATCCAAATGCAGCCTAAAACATTGCTCAGGTGTTCATTAAGCAAGTCTGCAAATTTAACGCTGCCTATCACTTGCTTGCACTAAACTAACCTATAGTATGATAAAATTTAACTGATTTTAACACAAGAAAACCATACAACTACAATCCAGTCTCCAATTCTATAATATAATTGACAGAGGCAGGCACTTTTTCTTGCATGGATGCTTTTGCAGAACTCATAATTAACATGACTTCAGTTCATTTTGTATTTGAGTCAAAGCCAAGTTCTAATTATTAATTTTTGGACATGAGTGATGCTGATGACCTTTCATTTGAAGTCAAGCAAGCTTACAGATTGCCTCTGGAGTAATTTAAATGCCCAGGTAGATGAACCTTGAAATGTGTGAATCAATTATTGATTGACTCTACATCACATTAACAACAAATTTATAGGTTGCGAGAAAAATGCATGTTGTCATTGGACAGACTGTCCTATAAATTATTAGGAGCCACTTGTACACCATTTATT